GGGATTTCGAAGTTGTGTATGATGAAATATGTTATTTATAAGACACTGGTGAGCTCTAAATAAGTCCAATTTTGAAATAAGAGAAGAAAAAAACTACTGTAGTACTGTTATTTTATAATTTTATTAAATGGGTGGAATTAACAGTTTGCCACAAATTTTCAGCATCTTTTATAATTTTCTAAAGGAATATAGGGTCATATCACACTTCAAGTAACTGAAAACTACCATTATTCTCAAAATTCTCCTGCTCATATAATGTACCTTCGAATGTCTTGCACTTTGAAGCAGTAATTCTTCCATAGCAAACTTCAAACCATGCTGATAATGATGATTCGTTTTGATTCACTTTTATATCTTACCAATTCACAATCACTGTCACTGATATTCTGATGAATGAAGTCTTGGAATCCCCTAGGAGACAAATTGGATGAATGTTTTCTGGACAAAATAATTAGCTTATGAATCAGAATCAAACTCTTTCAAAAACAGTTATCCTTGGCATCCATGTTTTCCATCTACTTGAAAAACTACTTCAAGAAATTTTGATGGAACCACTGGGAGGGTAGGAACTTGTTTTGGTGCTAATTCTACAAGTGGCATGAATGTTGATAGGAAGCTCAAAAATTTGGTAGTTTGGACACTGAGTTGGGCACTTTTCAGTAACACTCCATAGAAGGTACAGAGGGTTCTTCTGATCTTCCATGTAACCATAATAAGAAAGCCACACTGTGTTTACATCTACCTAAGAATATAAAAGAATATAGTTTATAAAAAAGTCAAGAATTTATGTACCTTTTACCTTTTGAAACTGCACAATCCAGACTACAGTTTCTTCAGCTTCATGAACCTCAGCCTCAACCCTTTATGGTTTAGGACGAACTTTATGTTCTGGACTAATCTTCACCTTTATGAAACAGCTCATGCCAGTTTTTTTTAACTTGCAGAATTCAAAAACCATAGTTGAATCAACTACTGGAAGATTGTGATTGCTTTTTCTAATACTGGCTTCATATCTCCAATCAATAAACATGAACCATCAGACTATGTCACAATAATAGTCACAATGATTTGAATATTTTGATTACACAAGAAAATATTAAGCAAATGAAAAATCAAAGAAAAACTCTGATGTTTTGATGTTTAGGAGTTCGGTTTCTTAGGTTAGGAAATATGTAGAATATTTTGAAGGTACAGTACAGCGTTGCCAAATGCACGCCAATACTTGTTACGTCATCGCGTATCCGCCATTATTGGTTTTTTGAATGGTCCACAAATTTGTATGGTTTTGCAAACGCGTTCTTTGGATAATGACAGCATTTATTGTTGAAAAAACTACTGGTACACATTATTTCAATGTTATATTTATTTATTATGCACATTTGAACTGAATTCGTGCTATTGTGTTCTCGCCTATACATTCATCATGGTAGAAGAAAAACTGTTTTTTATATTATTGCAGATATTTGACACCTGATAGCCCAACTATTATTTGTATTTATCGTCCGATTTAAACAATAATATTCAGAAAAGTGTAAATACGTATTTGGTCATTTTTAAATATTATTGTGGTATTTTGAGTTATACAGGGTGTTTCAGATATGAATGTACATACCATACCTGTAGATAGAGGACACTTTGCTGATTCCGAACCCCTCCCCATTGATGTGTCTACCAGTGGCGGCTCCTCAGAGGAGGCAACGGAGGCTGAGCCTCCTCAGAGATTTTCCTTAAACTGATATTATCTATACTTTCTCATTGAAAGGACACCAAATTAAATGGATTTTGATTTTATTTTTAGGTAAATATTTTTGAATTGGCAACAGTGCTTGCCCACGCATCACACGTTGAAGTCTGCAAATCACGCGTGAAATATTCAACTTGGCAACATCTATAGGAGGCTAGAGTCCTTCACAACGCGCAACTCACGCGCGCAATGCAAATGCCCGAATACGCCCGAATAGCACGTGTTTGTCGTGTCGCGTCGCGAATTGCGGACAATCCAGAATCCAGCGAGAGTGCATTGTTTATGTTTATGTTAGGTTAATGGTAGGGGCTCTATAAATTTCTGAAAAATTAGTGTTTTAAACGATTGCGATTTGGTGGAATACTTTTTGGTGAACCCATTCAGTGCTTTGTCTTATGAAGATAAATTGATTGTGAAAAACAAACGTCCGACACCGGAATTGAAAAATCTGATTGTAACAGGTAACAAACAAGATCGTTCGTTCAATTCTGATAATTATAAAAAATATATCTGGTTGACGGGATCTGAGGTAAGGAATAAGCTATTTTGTTGGTACTGTGTATTATTTTCAACCGATAAGTCCTCATTAGGATATAATGATTTGAAAAATTTTCCTCGCGGATTGGATAGACACTGCAAATCACAGGAACACATCTCTTCAAGTATTAAGTTCAGGTCAACTGGTAAACAGAATGTCATTAAAGCTATTGATTTGTGTGAGTAGAGATTTGTTTTTTACAATAAATCTCATATCATTCCGCCACTGGTGTCTACCGTCTTTTGTAACTGAGGTACAGGACGTTATCTTGATTTTGGCAAAATATTCATATGGTCATAACTTTTGAACCACTTCGTAAAATCTATCCATACATGGTATGAATATTTCACTTATATTACTTATCAAAACTGAATGGAAATTGGGATCAGAATCCAGGTCCGCCTTGAGGAAAATTAGACAACTTCCTTTACTTCAAAAACAACACTCTGTAAGGCAAAATTTTGTAGATCTATTTCGATATTTGAAAAGAGCAGGGAAAAACGAATAAAGTGACCTACTTTTTACGAGCGCGCATTCGATTTGATAAGTGTTTTATTGTTATTTTCTGAAATACTCCGCTCCATTTTGAGGCATTTTTATTGAACCCGTAATTCGAAATCCAATTATTTCACAACGAAATAACAGTCTTCAAAGTTCAATATCATTAGAGTCAAAATAGGTGTACTATCGATAGATTTGTTCGTTTGACAGAAAAACTTGTCTGTGGTTTTCGACATTTTTGAGGGCTCATTTTATTATCACTATCAATTTCATGAGCTGCGGTGAAGTAGAATGTATAAGAAATTCTGATATTCTGACAGGTTATAACCACTAGTGTGATATTATTGGTAACGTTAAGATAATTGTTGGTGCTTGTATATTGGGTTGTTACATTTCAAAGTGTTCATAACTATGCTTTAACACAATAACCTTAATGTTACCAATAATATCGCACTGGTGATTATGAACTTTTAGAATTTTTAAATATTTATCACAGCCTTATTTACCGCAGCTTATGAATGAATATATAGTGAAGAATAAAATGACTCCTTGAAAATTTCTAAAATCATTGCCAAGTTATTCCGTCAATCGAACAATCTATCGATAGTTCCTCTGATTTGGCTCTAATGATGTTGAACTTTGTATCAAAATTGGATTTTGAACTATGAGTTCAATGAAAATGCCTGGAAATGGAGCTGAATATTTCAAAACATAATGAACCATCTGTCAAATTGCATGAGCGCTCGTAAAAAGTTGGTCAGTTCATTCCTTTTTTCCTGTTCTTTTCAAATGTCAGGAAAGATTCACAAAATTTTGCCTTGCAGCGTTGTTTTTGAAATAACAGAAGTTATCTGTTTTTCCTCAAGACGGACCTGTATTCTGATCTCGATTTTCATTCAGTTTTGATGTGTGAAGTGGAAAATTTCTACCAAGTAAGAATAGATTATATAGTGGTTCAGAAATTATGGCCAGATGAAGATTTTGCCAAAATCAAGATAACGTCCTGTATCTCAGTTATAAAAGACGGTAGACACATCAATAGGGGTGATTTGAAACCGTCAAACTGTCCTTTATCTACAAGGATCGAATGTACATTCAAGTCTGAAACACCCTGTATATGATTATATCTTGTATTTAATTACTCAACTGGTCTCCAAAACTTCGCGCTTGTTGAGTATTATACTTTTTCTAATTTTGACATGAAATTTGACACTTTTCAAAATTGATGGAAGTTTTGAAACGTCTTACTTTACTTAACCAGTCGCATTAAGTAAAATATTACATAACTGGTGATGAAATTTTCATTTCAACACCAGTAACGTAATAAAAAGATGGATTGACGAAGAGAATAATGCATTTTGTACTGCTTCCTCGATATCACCTAAGAAATCTAAACTTCAACACATTGCGGGCCAAGCTTTTTATATAAAGGTATCGACTTTAATGGAAAAAAACAACATATATTGATGAAGGATTTTGGTCGTTAAAGGGTTAAAAGCCTTCAGAATATCAAAGTTGGTGATTTTCTTGTATGAAAATTCAAGTTGATTTACAAAATTCACTTATTAGACGCTCAAAATTTGATTTGGAACAATGTCATGAGCGAAATTAAAGCAGCAAGCTGGAGTATGTCAATCGACGGATATTTCCCGGAAAAATAGTACAACGAGTTGCATTCCTATGAGTATTCCATGATTTGAGACAATAAACAAGCGGCTTGCGAGAGTTGCGCACACTGCATCCATCATTCTGGCTTACAACATAATTGACGTTTCGAACGTCCAAAATTGTATCGCTGAAAAACGAGGAAGGTTGGTCACGTGACGAGCGTCTCCCGACACAATCATATGATTTGTCATATGTCAATTACGTCAAGTGGTGCAAAATATTTTGATTGTTTTGAATAGACTTGAATAGAGGATTCGATTGGCACGGAGAAGTCGTAGAAGTTATGTTTTTCAATTGAGTTTATATTTTATAATTTTATATTTGAAATGGAGGATATAAAAAGGTGTGAAATAATAATAGGTATATGAATTACCAGCTAATGTACATTGCAATTAAGCTAGTTTATACTCAATTCCTGAGTATTTGACTGTTTCATCTCAGTACTATATACAGTTTTTTTTGTGGGTTAAGTGGAAGAATATTCTTTGTTATGCTCTGGTGTAACAGTAAACTTCGCCCTTTGCTTCGAAAAAATTGACTTTTATATATATATTTCAGCAACTTGCAGATAGATGGAGTTTCACTAGCGCCACCTAGGAAACAGCCAAATTAGGCTTCAACATTTTACACGGAGGTGGATCTTCTCTTCAGTGTAAATAATCCAGGGTTTCATAAAAACATCGGATGATAAATACAAATTCACTGCAAGAGATGACTCACATTCAAGTCAGCAAACTCTTTTTCGGAACTTTAGAACAAATGTATCAAAAATGTATTCAAGTTTTTAATCATCTAAAAAGTGTATCAAACATTTCAAATAAATCTTAGCTATGAACATAAAATTTATTTATGCTTGCAGACAAAGGAAATCAATTTTGCACCAAAAATTGTATATAAACATTGGACTGTATAAACAAGTAAACTTTTGGATAAGAGAACACAATTAATAAAAATACTTCAACTGTAGAAACACCAAAAAGTAAAGAATAAAACGATATGGGACTTTACAATGGAGAATTCAAAACGAAATCTTTGACACTCTTATAGGTCAATATCTCCTTGCTGAGCTGTGTCATCTTTAATAAATTCTCTTTGTGGATTTTAGAACCTGTATTTTTGTACCTCAAGGCAGTGACAGCTTTATCCAGGATGTAATGAAGCCATAATAGATTGGAGTATGGTTCAAATCCTTGCCAATTATTCCTGAAAAACGAAAAAATGAAAATCAGACTGCAGCAATATCAAGGAATAAAAGATCACAAAAAACGCTAAGAATATTACCACAAAAAAATCAAAAAATACCCAAATACACTCCGTTCCAAAAAAAGTGAAGCACTTGATATTTGACCTTTCTTCTTTGGTTTTCTCTTTTATCTATGTTTGTTTTTCGGAAATTTTCAGTAGACCTGATTCTGCGCCAATAAAGGGTATTGACTATTATTTACAATGTGAAAACATTCGTTATTCGAATTTACCGCCATTGCCAAAAGCGCTTTAATTGGTCTCCTATACTACCCTATACATGTGTTTGGGAAAAAAGGATTCATGGAGTGAACACCATTCGGATTTCTATACATCTATAATATAACAATAGAAACGATCAAATCCGAATCTGAAAAGTTAACTATCAATTATAAATTAACATTGAGTTATGTGGTTGGAAGTGATACTATTCTGCTGGAAATATTCGGCGATAGTTACGACAGCTTGTTGCCTAATAATTTTGCTGAATGACATTGTTTATCAAAACTATCGAGGCGTAGGCGAGAATTTTTGGAACAATGTCATTAGCGAAATTAAAGCAGCAAGCTGGAATATGTCAATGGACGAATATTTCCAGGAAAAACAGTATCACGAGTTGTATTACTTTGAGTATTCCATGATTGAGACAATAAACGAGCGTCTTGCGAGAGTTGTGCACACTGCATCCATCATTCTGGCTTCCAACATAATTGACTTTTCAAACGTCCGAAATTGTATCGCTAAAAAACAAGGAAGGTTGGTCACGTGTGAGTCAATTCGGCTTCCGTAATGGTAGAGCAAGTCCGAAAAAATTTAGTAAACAAACAAATATCGCTTCAATACAGAAGAACCCGTGAAAATGGCCGATTCTGATCGATTCTAGAGACCAAGATTGACATACTCAATGTAAAACATGCAAGTGAAATAGTCACTAAGCGTGAAACTCACCTGTTCCTCTTTTGCATCGCCCTGTATATCTGGAACTGGTAGTCCCCTTCGGCGGTGAACAGGTCAGGATCCGTGCCCAGATCGTTGAAGATGACGACGCCGTCGTACTCGATGCGCGACAGCGTGAAATCGATGATGGTCGCCTGCACGCCCTTGCTCGGAAACCTGTACTTCTCCCCGTCCAGGGAGAATTCCACGGTGTCGTTCCTGTCGACGGTGTTCAGTAGTACGTTGCCCCAGTGCAAGTCCCTGTGCTCGAACCTGTGGAATATGATACGTTTGATTTTCATCTTCAAGCATATTTTAATCTATGTGATGATTTTTCAAGGTGGTTCATATGAGCTTATATGAGCCCGAAACATGTTAAACAAAGTTATGGAGATGACTTTGGGTCTTCATCTATGAACTACACCACTCCGTTACCATGGACTTCCAAAGAGATAATAAATCTATTCTATTCTGATTCTAAAACCGATGATAACTACAAGCTTGTTAATGGAAACAAGGTCAAATGTAATGAAACAAAAAACGAAAGAGTGTCAATCAAATACCATTATATATATTACACATTCATCGTTCCTATATTTAACAAATACTCTCTTCGTGAGCGAATGCATTAAAAGGTATTTCTCATCCTCGGTGCACAAATAACGATAGTTTCACCTTCATCAGATTCCTCACCTCAATTCCTCCTCTGCCACGGCCAACCCGAACGCCACCTGCTTGAACATCGAGTAGGCTTGCAGCGCGTTATTGAAGACAAACGCCTCCAAGTCGCTGCCGGCGTTCTCTAATTCGAGCACGATGTAAAGCTGGTCGTCGCCGAACAAATCGGGGCAATCGTTTTCCGAGCCGCGCGTCTCTTCGAACAGCTCCCACAGGTCGAGGAGTTTCTCGGGATAGTGGCCGCGCACGCAATGGATGTTTTGTACCAGAGAAAAGGACGACGTGGCGTTTTTCTTGTTGTTCCGAAGGTTGCTCAGCTCCCTGAAATAGGTATTTATGTACCGAGGACGAAAAACTGTCTATTATAGTCGAATTTGCAAATTGATACCCGAAGCCTTAGCCGAGGCTAGCCATCAGACGAGACAATAAACAGTTTTTCGCCGAGGTGCATATTACATTTTTTTGTTGACCTCAAATACTTATATCCACATCACGGTCCTATTCACACGTGAAATCTATCGGATTTTATGAATTATTAATTGGACAACAGCAAATGACAAATTTTGTCAACACACTCTCCGCGCGGACCAGGGTTGCCAGTTCAATTTTTATTTCATCAGTGAAAATCTTGTCAAAAATATAGATCAATTATTTTATGCTATATGAATTCGAAGAAAGGATAATGGAATAAACCTATGACGTCAAAACATTATGTACTTTTAGTAAACAGAAAAGTAGACTATTTACAACAAAATAGAAACAAACAAAACAAACATTCTCAAAAAAATCATATTCCTAATTCTTAATTTAAAAATGTTTCACAAATATCAGAATATACAGTTACAAAGGTACAAGTATATAAAAATCGGAAACGAATAGTAAAAATGAACAACAAAAATACAAAACGAATAAAAAAAATAAACCTAAGAAACAAACTGTTATAACAGAGGTATATAATAAATTGAATTTGATCTGAATCAGATAAAGTATTGTCCTGTTTTGGTTGATACATATCATTAGTACCTATATATTAATTTATTGCTTATTTTGTAAAATTAATTTGAACAGAGCGTGCCGAAATATTACGCAATTCATAGGAGTATGTGATCAACTATGGATTAACAATAATATAGGTAATTATAATAAAAAATAATAATAATAAGATTTTATTTTTAGCCAAAAGAATACAAAGATTCCACAGAGGCTTCTCTGCTTGGTAGGGATAATAATACTATATATACAAATACTCGGTCAAATGGTAATATGGTAATGGTAGTGGTAGAACATATTATACACTTTGTATGAAACTAGAGTTAGCAGATCTTTTGGCAAGTTTGTATTCACTGCAATTAGTGAAATGTCTCCATTATTTCTTGTTTCATACTTATGTATTTGACTTCTTGTGTTGAATGTTAAATTTGAGTGACGTGCTTCACTTTTCACCTGGTGAAGTGTCAAAATATTGTTCAGTAGGTTATGAAATGTTTCAGTAGATCAGAAGATCAATATGCAAATCAGGAAATCTACTGAAAATTCTGAGGGACTGGCACTAGCAACCCTGCAGCGGACATTTGCGGACGTTAGTGTGTGCGGACGAAAAGTACTTACCTTCGGAAATAGTCGGTTTTTGTTCGGAAATTAAAACGTAAAATGTAATTTTTCGTTGAGGTCGACGAAAAACGAATTATCAAACAATGGCGTGATTCTCACTAACTTGTAATACCACTAAAATAATTTTATCTAGTGTGGTATTAGGTAAGAAATTGTTACACCAGATTGTGTTTGGAAATTGAATAATTTTGAAATTTATTTACTATTTGATTTTTACACAGTGACCCATTCGGAAGCGGGCCACCCCCATAAATATTTTATTTATGAAGCGATTTTCACAATATTTTATGATAATAAAAAATAGTATACATCATTATGTTAACTCAGAACAAAATGATTGGCCCTTCTTTATGTAACTAACGAAGAAAAAATACATCCGTCATTCATTCTGTTGTTTCGAAAATTTATTATTACGACAAATTGATCTTTTCTTCGCCATTTACATAAAACAGGTCCACTCATTTTATTTGGGGGTTACAAAATGACATCTATTATACTATTAATTATCATATAACACCATCGCCGAACATAAACAAATGGTTAACCAGAATTGGATTTCAAGCCTACGAAGGTCAATATCCAATAATTGATATATTCGGCAAATATTTTTTATACTTTTATATTCATAAAAAATAATATAAAATCAATGCCGAACATTAATCTATACTAATATTATAAAGAGGAAATATTTGATTGTTTGTTTGTATCCGAAACTACTGGATCGATTTGGCTGAAAATTGGGTGGATAAGTAGCTTAGAACCACGAGAAGGTTATCGGATACTTTTTATCCCGCTACCATTAGGAAATTCAAGATGACGCACCTAATATATCGGACGTTTTGTAATTATGGTCCGATTCTATTCAAAATTGGTATCTGCGGGTTTTCGGGGTCGGAGATTATGATTCTTTCGACAGAATTTGAAAATTCGGGCGGAATTTGTGGAAATTCAAGATGGCGGAACCAATATGGCGGACGAGTTTTGTAATTATAATCCGATTCTTTTCGAAATTGGTACCTAGGGGTTTTCGTGATCAGGGATTATGATTCCTTCGTCAAAATTAAGAAATTCAAGATGGCAGATCCAAAATGAAGGATTTTGTAATTGGGATCCGATTTCATTCAAATTTGGTAGTTCTCAGGATCGGGGATTATGATTCTTTCGTCAAAATCAGGAAATTCAAGATGGCGGATCCAATATGGCGGACGAGTATTGTAATTATGATCCGACTCTCTTCAAAATTGTTATGTGGGTGTTTTCGGGGTCGGAGATTATGATTCTGTTGTCAAAATTTGGAAAGGTCGGGTTTTGGAAATTCAAGACGGTGGAACCAATATACCGAACGAGTTTTACCAATTCTATTCAAAATTTGTAATTGGGCGTTTTGGGGATCAAAAATTATGATTCCTTCGTCAAAATTAATAAAATTATATTATAGAAATAATAATATATATAGCAAAACAACGTTTTCGAGGTCTGCTAGTGCATGAGCAATGCATACTCTACACCCTACGCGGGGGTGTTTGGCCGTTACCCCCGATATTTGGCCCCCGATCCAACCAAAATGTTCGGCGATCATATTAACTTGAGTATTTGTGAATAATTAGTTGAATTCACAAAATTCCGAACATGAGCAGATAATAACTTTCATTTGAAAAATAGATGAAAACTATACAGCGCCACTCATATCCACCCTACACGTTCGGCAATGCCGTCCACCCAAACTTTTCTTCAGTGCCAGTATATTACGATATCGGCCGATTGCCGGAAGTTGAGTAATGATTAGGAATGGGCGATAGTGATTTTGGATTATCGATTATTGTTAATCACAATGTATCGATATTATCAAAATTATCGGTTATAAATTGCACGAGTGCATAAAAATTACCGATAATTTTGCAATAAAGCGTTTTATCTAAAAATTGCACGAGTTTCTTTTTATATTTTGGCGAAGGAGCCACATTCCGAGGAGCCACAGTCCGAAGGCGCCCGAGGCCGAAGGAGGAGGGCTCTTTTACAGATAATGAAAATAAACGAATGCAATTTCTAAAAGATAACACGTTTGAATGCAAAATTGTCTGGTCATTTTTATACACGAATGTAATTCATCGGAATATTTCACGAAGTAAGGAATTCCGTCTGTTGGATTTGGTATTTTTTGGTTCACTTTCATTTATACTTTCCTAGATAGATTGTATGGAGCACTCACAAAACGCGACATTTTTTCCACTTTTTGAAGTCCATCTGAAATTTATTAGCATTGTTTACTGGCATCTAGTGACATGGCTTTATAAATGTGGTGTTATGGCGACGGGATCTCTTCGCAGTGGAATCTTCGCTCTGCAGTGCAATTACCGATATATGATTGAAATATTCGATATTATCGAAGTTATCCATACATTATAACTCAGTAATTTTTTAGGAATTATCGATATTGTCGATATTTTTTGCATTAAGTATCCGAAAAGGAACATTGGGCGTGCTACGGGTAGAAAGCGAACTATATACCACATTCCAAATAAGAAGATAGTAGGTGGCGCTTCTTCTGAAGGAATGTTTACACTGACAAAATAAATATATGACGCCTAATCCAAAATGATGGTAAAATTGTAATGTACGGAAAATAATCGGAATGTTATGATGTGGACATCTTTCCATAAAGAGAACTTCAACTGTGAGTAATATTGCCCCGATATTAACCAATGAAAGACTTACAATGTTGTCTTCTTAGTTGGAATGGACTATACAATTAACAATCAACTGATTCTTCGAAAATTATCGAAAATCATTGAAAATTATCGAAAATCATCGGAAATTTTATCTATAATTATCGATCTTATCGATATTATCGATATTACCGATGAAACTATAATTTCTTATCTGAATTTTTATCGATATTATGGATATATCGATAAATTTGCCCACCCCTAGTAATGATCCCAGACCCCGGTATTTTTTATACAACTTCACCCACGCGGCTTGTAGTGGAAGGTGGAATTTGGGCAAGGCAATTTTGGGGTCCATGTTCTTATCACTGCTGCTGTGTGAACAAATGAGACACAAAAAATACGTTGTGGTTTCCCGGTCTATATGGAAGATGTTTCCAGGGAGACATGGACAACTGTTACTTTGATATTGAATAAAATATTCGTTTTATCGGAACCTTGTTTGGGATTGTTTGAATACCTTTTTCATTTTGGCATCACAAATGCAGCTCACACATACCATAGATATGTTCACCAACTTACTAAAGATCTTGATTTCTTATTCCCGTATTTTGAGGATTTTCTGATCGCCTCGGAAAATTGAGAAGAACACAAAAATCATATGAAACTATTGTTTGGAAAGAACTTCAGAATTTTGAGAACGGAAAAATATAGCAAAATTTTAATTGACTGGCTAAAGCCAGCATTCTTAGAAACTGTAGAATGTTCGTCTACAAACCTAAATAATTCTAAGAACCAGATGGGTACCAATCATTATGGAAAACAAGTTCATTTTTCTATGTAGAATATTTTCACGAATGTGTTGGTATAAAGTAATTTTACCGTGTATGGAAGATGTTTCCAGGGAGGCAGAGAGAAATAATATAATCTGTTTCTTTGATATTGAATAAAATATTAGTTCAATCGGAACATTGTTTTGGTAGTTTGAATATGCTACAGAAACCCATATTGGTCCATAATCAGGCTTTTAGACTAATCATAACGTAGAAAGATTCACGCGTGCGTGATACGGCTACACCATTTGCATCTGTTGCCTGTGGCTCTCGGAATAGAGCAATGTCTGCTGACGTCACAACATGGCGCACTCGTCGTTTTCATCAGCTGATCAGGGGACAAACAAAGCTGTGTGTGAATTTTGATTTCATTATTTCTGACCTATTGGTGATTTTGTTGAACTTGTAGATATTATACAAGATGTGTACATTTTCTTCCAAAATGAGTATCTATTGAGGTATATTAGGAGGTATATTAGGTATATTAGAGCTGAACTCAAGTAAATCCAGTAATTTAAAATTGACAAATAAACCAATTTGAACTCTTCTTTGGACTCATTCACTTTTCTCACAGGATTCATGATGAATGAATTAACAAACATGTCAATAAATAAATGCTCCAGGTATTGTATTTTAGTGGTAAATGTGCAAGAAAGTTACATGTACCCTTATGGAAAATGTGTATGCTTGTTCCTCCATCAGCTGTTCAATGGCCGACATATGACGTCACTGACAATGCTCTATTCTCGAGCGTCACGCACAACCCTCACAACACATGATATCCTTTCCACATACAAAAATTGTCTTAAATACGAATTAGGTTCATTTAGACTGAGTTAGGTTGGATTTTTTAGAAAAAGAAGTTTTATGCAGAAAGGATATTGTCCTTCCTTATATTACAATTTATTATGTCTTCAAAATTCAGAGAGCCACAAATGGAAATGGTATGCTACAGGCCTGTACTGTAATTATCAGCAACATCAGCGATACTGTCAAAGCCAAAGAATCTTCTGCAACATTCACCCACACTACTATTAGCTATAATAATTATCCAAAATCTTAGGAGTGAAAACTTTGCAATTGAAATTGTGGACAATAGTTTATGGAACAAACTATCATTCATTCTCCATGTAAAATTCCATCCTGAATAGTCAAATGTGATCATGAGATACCCTAGAAAATTAAAATTTCGGAAAAACACCGTTTGATAACACAAAACTTTCATGGAGTATTAGGTTCAAAATCAATAAAATTAATAGTAGCACTCCATTGTTTGTTATATGACTCATCCTGTGAGTCAACCCAAATGAAATAAATGAATTTAATCCAAAATTTTTGTCAGATTCCTGTATGTGGGTGCCTTAGAATAATTTTGGTATTTTTCGGGAATTCACCAGCCAAATGGAAGAGTTCATATCAACATGGGTTTAAAAATAATTCACAATGACACTAAAGCCCCTCCAGCTTTGATATGGAGGAGTAAATATGTTATTTTTGACACTTTTCATTCCCTTTCTGTGAAAGTTTTTAATTTCAATCAAACAATTAACCTTAGTGAATCTTGACAATTTCAACCTTACTGCAAATTATTCAACAAGACAGAAGTCACCTTTGCTCTCACTGAATCATAAATACCTACTTCATTTGACATGATTGGATGATTTAACAATATGAAATCATATGATAAATACTAAATGCATTTCAAACAACTTGGAAAAATAATTTCATGGTAATGTAATTGCAAACATGTTGTGAATAAGGTATCCAATCAAAGAAAATGATGATCATGACAAACAAACAAGAATGTTCATCATTTTTAGATAGTTTTGTATAGAGGCAATATAAATTACTTTCAATTATATCAAAATCTCCAATAAAAGGTTCATTATTACATCAATTTCCTCACAAATATATTAAAAATTGAATCTCCCAATGACTAATCTTTATTACTAATAAATAATAGAAACACTTTTAAGGTAGTGTAAACATCATAAACAATGATTCATTGATAACAGGAATGAGAACACAGAGTAGATAATGACCATGTCATAAACAATGGTAACTCATACCACCATTTTTTCATAATATTCAATTTACTTACATGGCTATGACAACTTCAGAAAGAATTTCATCAAACTTTTTCTGTCTTTCACCATTAACTATTTGGTCTCCTTCTATAGGTATTACTTTCATTACAGAGGTACCTCCAGCAGGGTTCCTGTAGAGGAAAACCTCCCCATAGACCCCCTCGCCGATTTTCTGGCAATGATGAAGAGCACTAAAAATTTATAGGTATTCAAATAAGAAAGTTTGAGTCACATATCATCAATTCATCAACAAAGAGTAAATAATGACTTTTCATGGAATTCATTTTAGGTGATAATAATAACAACAAGAATACTGATAAATGAAAAAGCCAGTATGGTCAAAACATAAATTCTAGGTAAACAGGAACCAATTCATTAGTAGCTTCATTGTTATTCTGGTTAGATAATTTAAATTTGGTCCATCATTTTGGTGTAATTCCTATTTTTCAATATATGGGCAGTACACCAAATATTGACATGAATTTAAAAGGAAAAGAGCACAATAATTTTATTCAAAAGCAATTCACTTGAATCAAATCTCAAACTTTGTAAAATTATTTTCTGTATTTCCACAGCATACTGAATATTTTTGAGTCCAGAGAAAGTTGAAGAGAAGAGAATGTTACATTATTATGGTGAAAGCACCTCAGAATATTGCACAATACAAACTTTAGGATTAGTTAGTGACTAACATCACAAATTTGACCTTTAGAGTTCAAGTTTCAAGGTTCCAAGAAAGGACCCCGCACTTTTAGTACGTAAAATGGTTCTCGGTGAAATTTTCTGAATTTTCAGTATGTTTTAGAATTCGAAGAACTGATTGAACCTGCAGAATCGTGAAGTTCTTTGATGAACAGATTCTGAGATACAGGGCGTTGAAGTTACAAATCGGTATTTTTCATTTAATTATTTTCTCGAAATTCAAAGATGCCAAGTACAATTTTTTTCGCTTATATCATCAACGAACCTCCATATTACTCAACATAATTCAGATGGTTCAGATAATGTAATTGTTTACAGAGTGAAACATATAAACATTTCAGTGATGTCTGAAAATTCGAAGTAATAATGAAATATCGAAAAAATAATTTAGGCATGCAATATACTATTCTCATTCCATCATGAATCACAATTCATATATTTCATACAGGGTGATTTGAAAAATTGGTGTCACCTAAGACCGATTTATTCATACACATCCTGTATATTCGAGTGAATTGTTAACCTCCCAAGATAGCTGATACCGTATGAACATGCTTTCGTTGATATATATAGGGTGATCATGAAGATTTTCGATGATGAAAATGACAAAAAGTCGTGTTATTTGAAATCACCCTGTTATTCATGATTAACTCGGTGAAATTCCCTAATTATTTTTCAATATATTCATCATTCGCTCCTCAACGCTGTCTTGAAAATTCAGTTTCCTATCATGACGGGTGTCATAGTTATTAATTCAGGAACTTACCATTTGCATGAAGAGTTGAAGAGACACACAAATAGTGAAACGTGAGAATGTGGAGACGAAAATAAGTTTAGTATTCATATACAGGGTGAACATTAGAAATTCAATAACAATAGCAGATATATGAATTTAATAATATTAATATAATGTACAGATAGTTAGGCGAATTTCGTTGGTATACAAGCTCTGCCAAAATGAAAAACGAACAATACCTAGGAGATGGGAGAATAATTCGGTCTTTCACGCTTCCATTTCTAATAGGGAGAGTTGAATCCTGGAATCGACAGATTTTGTCACATTTGTTTTCCACTCAGAATCAGGCGTTTCCATCATTTTCATGTTTGCTTGTTATCAGTAATTATTATAATATCATTAGATTCATATTCATATCACATTCCAATGATATAATTCAATACGTATGATGGTGTAATATAAATAATCCTATTATACTGGATGTTTCCGAAATAGCAGCGATAAATATGAAAAGGTGTTGTATGGGACATAATGACAAAAAAATACTGAACTTGTCACGCGGCTACTGATTGATTTCAGATTGGGTGTTGTAACTTAGAATATTCCCTTTGTGGAATTTATTGTTCATCAATTTATGAAGACTTGAAGAAACTTGTTCATTTACATTCGTCAGGTGGCCGAGATTTTTCACAAATAGTGAAACGTGAGAATGTCGTGGAGATCAAGTGTAACATAAATGATCTATGAAGGCCCATTTTGGCAGAGCTTGTATACCAACGAAATTCGCCTAACTATCTGTACATTATATTAATATTATCAAATCCATATATCTGCTATTGTTATTGAATTTCTAATGTTCACCCTGTATATGAATACTAAACTTATTTTCGTCTCCACATTCTCACGTTTCACTATTTGTGAAAAATATCGGCCACTATGCGAATGTAAGTGAACAAGTCTCTTCAACTCTTCATGCAAATGGTAAGTTCCTGAATCAATAACTATGACACCCGTCATGATAGGAAACTGAATTTTCAAGACAGCGTTGAGGAGCGAATGATGAATACATAGAAAAATAATTAGGGAATTTCACCGAGTTAATCATGAATAACAGGGTGATTTCAAATAACACGACTTTTTGTCATTTTCATCATCGAAAATCTTCATGATCACCCTATATATCTCAACGAAATCATGTTCATACGGTATCAGCTATCTTGGGAGGTTAACAATTCACTCGAATATACAGGATGTGTATGAATAAATCGGTCTTAGGTGTCACCAATTTTTCAAATCACCCTGTATGAAATATATGAATTGTGATTCATGATGGAATGAGAATAGTATATTGCATGCCTAAATTATTGTTTCGATATTTCATTATTACATCGAATTTTCAGACATCACTGAAATGTTTATATGTTTCACTCTGTAAACAATTACATTATCTGAACCATCTGAATTATGTTGAGTAATATGGAGGTTCGTTGATGATATGAGCGAAAAAAGTTGTACTTGGCTTCTTTGAATTTCGAGAAAATAATTAAATGAAAAATACCGATTTGTAACTTCAACGCCCTGTATCTCAGAATCTGTTCATCAAAGAACTTTACGATTCTGCAGGTTCAATCAGTTCATCGAATTCTACAACTTACTGAAAATTCAGAAAATTTCACCGAGAACCATTTTACGTACTGAAAGTGCGGGGTCCTTTATTGATCAGGCTAGAATAATTATTTTAGGAAGGAGAGTAACCAGGATACTAAAAATAACATGACTCATGTCTAGTTTTAGAGGTTGGATTGAAACAAAGAAAAACAAGAATCATTATCAAAATATCAATAAGTATTCAAGGGTACAAGAGTACCATCATGGATTGGTTCCTTAACTAGGTACAACTATCTACCTACAAGTGTGCTAGATAAATGCAATTTCATTCATGAATGCACTTCAGTTATAACGGCAAAACATGGCAAAACCATTGAAAGAATTCTCACCTTTGTGGATAGCATTTTGAAAACGGTATTGGTTCTGTCTGACCACATCTTCTCAAAACAACTTCTCTAGCAGTAACAGGCAACGATTCTTGAACTAGGGTGGTACTTCTCCTTAACGATAAACATCTAAGGCTATTTTCCAAATTATCTTCGAGTATTTTTTGACCTGGCACATAACCTGGTAAAGAATCATACGTAGGAATGCACATACACCTACCGAAATTCGAAAGATCTGCACAGCAATGCATACAATGTAGATGTTTCTATCAGTTGCACAGTTTATTCACTGATATTAATTGGATAGACTAGAGCAGTCTTTTATAGAAAACTCAATGGAACACGTGAGAAACCAAAACCCAACGAGTTCGGATTTGTGCTTTTTATTACAATGGATGGCCAAACAAAACAACACCAACGTCGCCAACCACAAGGCACAAGCAACAACCAACAAAATAACAAGAAAAATGGGGACGTTACTGACGTTTTGTGACGCTAACGTCACCTTGGACGTCACCAACCGTGAACGCCTGTGAACGTCACGCGTGTAGAGGTGGAAGATTAAAATACCTAGGGGATTCATTTCTACCTTAGGCGCGTATCGTATATGATAGGTCTGTTCATCCAGGCATAAACCAATCAAAATAATTCTGACCATGGAGTAAATTGGAAACAAAGAATAGTCATTTTTTCTGTGATTGGAAAAAAGTTTGCAATTTCATCTCTGTGAGTTTGCCATTTCATCTCTGTTGACAGGTTAAAAAATGTCACATTTTATAAATGACTTTTTTCCCTTTGGAAAAAAGTGAGTACTTTTCTCCCGGATATATATCACATATATTATATTTATATATACACTACTGATGGCTTTTGTTGTGCTAACGTTCCGAGAAAAAAGCCAATAACACCGTCTCCAAGAAAGAACTGCAAGTCCTATTTCCTGTCACAAAAAAAAGTGTATTATACACGGGAAAAATATTAGATTTACTCCTTTTGCCCCTTGTATAATAAATAACTATTATTATACCTACAAGGGAAGAAAGTATTACATTTTAGCAAGAGGTTGTGTATGTGTTGTCACTCGACTCGAAACGAAGGGATACGGAATACGGGAGACAAAAATCGTTGCTTAGGAAATCTTTTGAAGTAATCAAATACTTATATGTCGCGATTCGATTTAAAAATTGTGAATGTATTGGCAACTTATTTTGACCTCCTCTACACGTGGTAGCTCTGTGTCCCAGCAATTTTGGGACACCCTGTATATCTCTACCAAAAGGAAGCAAGCTGAAGACAATTTATTTTACCTAACACAGGAGGTAATATATTATTCCTTCCGTCGGAGTAAACTGACAGGTTTGTGTCCTAAAAATGAGGGAGCAATTTTTTTTATGTGATCATTGAATCAATTTGAGAATTTAATCGATAATACGCCGTATTATTGATTTCAACAAAATATCTGGAGACGGTGAATCATAAATACATCAAAATTGTATTTTTGGGGACAGTAAAATATACCATACAAGTTATGTATGTTTTTGTGATCACAACAGATATTGAAGAAATTACCATCAAAAACAGTTGAACAATGGATTTGCGATTTAATAAGCTTTTACAGATCACCCTGTATATTGCATATATTTTCATTATGGTGAAAAATAACATGTATATAGGAATAGCAAAGCAGTACTACGCAAACTGAATGCAACTTTTGCTCATTTTCATCATAGAAATCATATTTAATGATTTTCATTGGTTTACAATCTGGCGGATCGCCTATTACGTACCTACGGTGATAGTCAATTCTTGCCTGTTGACTGCCGCATTTAGAGGCGGCAACGGCAATGCACGATAATTATATTAAATGTACATTAAATAGTACCTTGATAATTTGATATTTAATAGGAAATGGAAATCTATTACGATCACGCGAAGTTTTTATTTTATTCATTCAAGGTAATCGGTAGATCACTGATTATCGCCTGTATTTGAAGAAAACAGTCTACACTGAACTCGACTGAGGTAGAACAATATTTAGAATAGTTCAAATTCCTCTGATTTCGCTGTAAGTATGTCACTGATATCATCAAACTAAAGATAGGTATGTCTGAGTCACATTATAATTGGATTTTGAACAAAACTTTCACAGATGACTCATTAATAACTTCCTTGTAAATTACTCATGAAAAATGGATTGCATATTCATAATTAAACGGAAGCAGCTAAAATATTGGTCTGATATCCGTGCCATCGGTGGGACGGTGGGACAAAAACGGTATGATGTATCCATGACAAAAACTATAATGGCAAGGTTGTCAGCATTTGATTTTTCTCCCCGAAATGACGATGACTTAAAATATTTATAAAAAACAGCTACCTATCTATGCTATTCAGACTCAGAAAATATTTTGAATGTTGAAAAATTATAATACTGATGAAAAGATCAGTTGTTGGTCAGGACAATATATTTTTTTATTTGGTATCATACTGATAATTTGATATATTAGTAGCAAATTACAGCGATAATTTTTTCACGTTTGGATCTTCGTTTAAAAATAGGCCCATAGACTGCATTGTTTGTTCGACGAACAAAAATGACGCAAAATCGAAGTGTGTGGCTGTAAAATGTTAGCCACTAGCTATTGTGATCTCATACTCGTGGACTTCGTCTATAGCAACAGCAACAACGTTTCGTGCATCTAGTTTGGATTATCAAAAAAAATCACCACTTAAGTATTATGTAATTACTGTCGATAATGTTTGAAAAGATTGGTGAACGTCGAATTTTCTTTTCATTTGGAAATTCTTTCAAATTCAATCCCATTTTGGTTGAGACTGCCAGGTTTCTCGGTTTTCACATTAATGATTTATTTTTTTGTGAAAGTCAAGATGGCCTATTCAGATTTTGAATAACTCTTTTCGTTTATGACATACAGACAGGGCGATTTTGAAAATTCATACTTTTGAGACCCTGTTTTGTATGCATGGCCGCTGGTGGAGTTTGGCAGGCTAATTTCGGGACACCCTGTATAGCTAACGGCGCATTTCAAATTTACTACACAGTATCATAACACTAATGAAATATAAGAATTGTTTAGATTTGAACACGTACGGGTACGGAATGACTACGCACGACAATCGTTGGCACTTGTGATTGGCGTTTAAATGAAAATTAATTTTCTGAATAAATGCAATAGATTAGAGATTATTCTATGTTCACTTTTGTTTTGGACGTTTTTATATATTTAGAGTATGGACACTCGGCCACTGACATAACTATGTTCTATCTAGATCAGCGGTTCCCAAATGGTGTTCGTGAAACCCTACGGTTCCGTAGAGAGCTCTCAGGGGTTTTGGGATAGAAAGGGTATTTTAGTAGAGCAGAGGACACCGTTCTGCGCTAACGAGTTACCTTGAAACAAACCATCCGCATCAGCAGGATAAAATTATTAGTTTTTTTAAGAACACGAAGATCTAGATACTGCCGGGGTGGCTGATACACACAAATATGTGAAAACTGGCAATAAAAACGCAACTGAAGCATCATTTCTGCTAGGTTACAGAATTGGTCTATCTGGAAAACCGTATACTATTGCAAACCATGTATGATTGAAACTGTCAAATGCGTACTTGGAGAAGATGCATTCAAGAAAGTAGCGGTACTAGCGGTTGAATATTTTAACAATACCATATAAGATTCCAGAAGACCATTTGGAGATGAATTAATTGGTAGAATGAATGATAGAAACATAACTGAGGTAGGCCTAATATTACCGTTATTATGAGTAAATATGTGAAAAAATGTCATTCTCCGCGTAAAATTACGTGCAATAAATATGCATTCATAATTCATATAATATCAGTTTCCTCCTCAACTCAAATTGACAATCTGTGATAGGCGATAAGGCAGCAGAGCTCTCAAGAATGTTATTATTATAAATTAACTTTTGTTATTACCAAGATAGGGTTCTACCAAAAAAATAGTCATCATTAGGGTTCCATGGCCAAAATATATTGGGCACCCCTGATCTAGATCGCTATATGTCATATCCCAACAACCTGAAAATCTTATCCATATTGCTCGCCTGGAAACGCTTCTGCTCAGTTCACAGGAACTCCCAAACTGATGGCGTTCGAGCCATGTCTCAGGGTGTTCAGAAAGATAAGTTAGAGTGAGTTGGATATATGACAGGTCCTGAATGCGCACACACCATTGAACCAAATTAGATCGTAAACGAAAGCTTTGATCTTGTGCAACTAGACCACTAATGCCCTAAGATCAGAGCTTTCGTTTACGAGATCTAATTTGCTTCGATGGAGTGTGCGCATTCAGGACCTATCATATATCCAACTCACTTTAATATCAAATTCCATTGGCAGGAACTGGTGGTGTTTCTGCACTCAATGTATATGTTTCTTTCTTACGCATGTGCAAAAACAGAGGTAAATATACACTCAGTGGAGAAACACTCCACCAATTCCTGCCAATGGAATTCGCTATTACTTATGTTTCTGAACACCTGCACTTGACTTGACTTGACAAACAGTAACATTCAGTGCTTGTCAGATTGTCTCTACTCTACATATCCAAAAACGTCATAACAAAATGGATGTGTCAAATATATCAAGAAACACATCAAGAAACAATAAATCGGAATTATTCTGGTAGATCATTTTGAGGTGAAAAGTTCCTATCGTCTATTCGCGATAGAAAATAACACGTCGCTCCATCTGACGGCAGCAACTTGAACATTTCTGAGCGGTTTGTTTTGAAGATATGACCAATAAGCACAAACAAAAAACAAATGTGAACCAATGAAAACAAAATACCGCTTTGCCAGCTTTCAAAAACTCCGATAGGTGGCGTACGCTTATTTTCTATCATGAATGTTCTGAAATTCATCCTGTCTAATAAATATGTGAGTGATTTCGTCAAGTATCTTAATATCCAGAAATGATCAGTTGACTGCAAAATATGGAGAAATAAGCATTATCAGGACTTATCCTTTAGTCCAATCACCTGTCTCGAAAATATTAACGAAAACATGGTCAGGTACGATCATAACTTCGCCACTGGTTTACAAAATTGAAAATGAATATTTCAAATTGATTTATAATATAATAGTATTTCAAGTATAGATATAGAACAAAGTATACAGGGTGGGTCATTTTTGTAGCAGCATTTCAGCAGCAGAAGACATGTATGTAAACATATATGCATGGGAGCTTTGTTTCTGATATACAGGTACAGGCGGCGGTGTCAAAGTTTTGTAATTTTAATTGTGTTTTTCAAGTTTTGCCACCGGCACCGAGTTTCATCCACACACCTTGTGAAAGCTCTTGACCATTTCAGATCTTCTAGTGAATTATTAAGAAATGTCAAGTAAAGTGTGTTTGAAAAATGAAGTTTTATTACAAGTAAATTATTTTCAGTATTTAACTGAGGATCCATGAAGTTTTAGAAAAACATTCAGAAGAGCAAAAGATAATCCCAATCAAATAAGTTTCATTGAGAGCAGAGGCGGCACGCAAAAAAGTTCAAGAGGTCTAAAAAAACTGACCATATATAAATCATATTTTTTGTTGTACTTTGACACCCTATTACTCAGACAGAATATATTTTAGGACAGAGATTGATAGGAACTTTTTAGTTCAAAATAGTGAGGAATCTGAAAATGAAGTGAAAGAAGTAGGTCTTATCCTGACTAACCCTGTAAATACCTATCATATATTATTTATTTTGAATCACCATTATGCTGGTGCAATCAGTATCAAGAGATTATTTGATTGAGAGATGTTTAACTAAAATATCAATAAGTAGAGACAATAACTCACTGGTAGTATTGACAGCATATTCTTCAAGAAGTGTAGTCCTTCTTTTATTTCTCAAAATTGATGATGTTTCAATTGGTACAATTTTGATTGAAAACCTTTTGTTTAGAATTTGATCACTTGGTCCAGCAATTGTATCTACAATATACAAATCAGAATTGATTCCCAAAATATATTCAATTTATTACCATTTTCCAATATGCTCTTTTCTTCATTAATGGAGCCCAGTAAAACACTGCTCTTTTTGTGATTTGATAATGACCGTCTCCAACTTTTTCCAGCTTTGAGTAAAACTTTCTTTGTAGGACCTTTTCTGGTATTCAAAACCATTGGAACTTTAAAACCATCATTATCTTTTTGACTAGATTCCAGAATGGAACTTTCTATAATATTAGATGAATCAGGAGTTTTTGGCAGTGTAGGGTTAACTAGTTCATCCAAACTATCAGTCAAGTCTATATAAGATATCTCTTTATGGGTATTATCTGAGTCATCATTTGTACTGAAATTCATCAAATCTGGTACAGTCTGATCAACTTTTTTGCTTCTGGATTTGGTAACTTGTAAATGTGAAGAGATTTTGTTTATTTTTCTATCTGGTTCCACATAAGAACTTTCAATTATTGAAGTACTGTAGTGGTTTTTACCATCATCATACAAGAAATTAGATGAAATTTCCTCTGAACTCTCTGTGGCACCAGAGGCATCTGTATTGTGATCAGAACTATAGTTTTTAGTGTAAAAATCCTCAAAAATATTTTGAGTGACATTGACAATCAGCTCTTTTTTTGTGTCCTTATCAACTGACTCACTAAAACCTCTTCTTATTGATACATTCACCCCTAGTTCTTTCCCATCTTCATGATTGGTTAGTTCATTATCACAGTTTAACTTTTCCATCAAAATGTTTTTCTCATAAAAATTTTCAAAATCTACAGAATTGATTTCATCTCTTCTTGTTACATTCACCACAAGGGTTTTTCTTTCTTGGACAGTACTGATTATAGATGTACTTCCAACAGTGTCATTGGCTGATTTATATCTGAGGATGTTATTCCTGGAGTTATTTCTAGAATAAAAGTTTTCAAAATCAAATAAGCTCAATCCTCCAGACTCTGTATTGTTCACTTTTTGTAGTCTTGTTACATTAACAATCATATCTCTGGACATCCTGAAAGTGTCATCATCAGTATTATACTGTGCTTCTGAAAAATTTAAGGATCTAGCAGATCTGCATCTTTTAGACTTGGTTACATTGTGCAACAAGTCATTTTCTGATAATCTTTTTCGCCTTTTGGTGAAGAAATTCAAAGGTGGCTCTAATACTTCCTCCTGCAATTTCTCTGCATTTATGGAGTGAAAGTGTTTAGAATCACTAGGATTATTGTGAGTCTCAAAAGTAGTAAATGTGTCCAAACTAACCACCAAACTTTTCTGTTCTGAATAATTGATCTGAGATTCAGTACTTATTTGAGATTCTTTCACTGGAAAAATCCTTTTTTGTCCAGCTCTTATGTAACTTGACTGGTCCATAGTACTGTCAGTATTTTTTGAATTAGCACTGGTATTTATTTCAGCTTCAAATGAATTGAAGTTATCCAAGCTAACAACACAGTTATCATCTGGTAATGTTTTTTTCCTTCTAGATCTACCTCTCATCTTCTCTACATCCAATTTTGGAATTTGTCTCCTTCTCAAAGTTATAAAATTCATATTATTCTTAGAGTCACAAATATCATTTTTGGAATTCTCATCCTCAATCCTTTTAATATTTTTACTCTGATCTATTTTGGAAAATCCAGAACAGTATGAGCTAGAGGTACCATTTTTTGAACTTTCATCTTCAGTGCCCTTGATATTTCCACACTGCTGTTCTATTTTGGAAAATCCAAGAAAATGATTAGAGCTTTCTGGAGAACTTATTTTAACTGACCTATTCATTGTTTTTCTGGGCGTTGGGCATTTATCAGAACAGTCATTTGGTTCATCTACTGAAGGAAACTTACTTTCCCATCTTTTGATTTCCTCAAAGGATTCCTTTACCAAGCAACTCAAATTTTTAATGGGTGAAATTGTATGGTTGATTATTTTTTTCTGAAATTTTTGAGATGCTACAGGGGTACTACTGTGTATGAATTGTCTTTCACGAAATGTCCTGGTGAATATATTATTTATGGAAATGTTTGCATGAGTGTGGTCTTTAGGTTTGGCTGATAGCACTAGGAAGCTTGAAGACTTTTCAAATTTCTGTTCTTGAACCTTTTCAATCTCCAAACTCACATCAATCCCATCTATAGTAGGTGCATTCAAGCGATAAAGGTAGGGATTAGATGAACCCTTACTCTTATCTGTCATCATAAGTTGTTTACTGTTCATCTCAGTAATACTAGCACCTTTTTTTCTTTTCCTAGTCATAATAGGTGAATAGAATGTACTTATTTGAGTGAAAGAACTCTCTGACTTCATTGCATTCTCAAGTGATTTTGAAGTATTGCATTTACTAATATTAATGTCTGGTTTGGCTACTTCCTTTTTATTTTTTCTCAGTAACTTATCAAATGTGTCTTCAGTAGAAATTTCTAGAGAATCATTAGCTAGAAGTGTTCCACATGTAGATCTAGGTGGCAGTTCCTTTATAAAAATATGGTGGTTTTTCCTGTTCTTGCTGTTCTTGCCTATCAAACGCTTTGTAATATTTTTAGCAAAAAGTTCATTGAAGGCATTGACGGAATTATTCATCACAGAGTTATTAGATCGGCCGTAGGTCCTGACTTTATTTACTGGGGCCATTTTCGATCAGGTCATTCAAAAATATGCTAAAAAACACTACTTAAAAGTATTTGTCAATTTGATAGCTGATATTATCATTAGGATCCAAACGATCGTTTATTTCAAAACAATGAAGATAGTAAAATTCCTCTTCTTTTTTTTTCTTTTTCACCAACTGTCTTATTTTACGATTACGCCAGACTCGTAACCCGAAGGTCTGTTCGTTTGTGTTGCTGAACTTGCCAAAGTTGATTTTGTTCCCATCTCTGTTCATTGTGTGATGTAAACAGAGAAAGTCATAGAGGCAGGTAAAGCAAACATAATTTCAGGATATTTCCTTATGACTTGGAGTTGTTGAGTTGATTTTAAGGAGTCTGATATCAGAAAAGGCATCCTTCTTCTCATAGAAAAAGATCCTGATAATTGAAAAAATTCCAGCTCTCAAAGTTTTTGTAAAAAAAAATTGAACGGTATTTCTTCTTGTTATATACCTACCCCTTTTGGAGTTACCTGAAAAATTGTCGCTTTTGTACGAATTTCTCGAGTTATTAGACTATTGTAGGGTAATTTGAAAATCAAATAAGGAGAAAATATCGTCGAGAATGGGCAAAAAAAAATGTCAGTATATTTCTTGTTCGATAGTGAAACAAGACAGGATATAGAGGTACTGAATGGGCAAAAAAAAATGTCAGTATAATATTTCTTGTTCGATAGTGAAACAAGACAGGATATAGAGGTACTGATATACTATAGGTACTATGTATATATAAAGAACACATTACAAATAATTTATTTTGAAGAAGAAATAAGAAAATGGAAGAATACTCCTAAACAACAACAATAAAATACCAATGAAATGAAGAAATATTAAAATTTCTGAAAGTTCAACTAGAGTGATCTGTCTATCCTCCCTGTATATTCCTAGCCTCCTGAAAAGTTTTCTGATTATAATTTCTATAATTCCTGGCTCTCCAGGCGTCTTTTATCGCTTATTCGGACCATTATTTCAAAACCCCCAAAAAGTGTGTACCTACGCCCCTGCGCTTCCAGATGATTTTTTTTTCAATAAATGGGGTCAGGAAGTTCATACAAAAAAATATTAACATGGTTTCGCTCCCAGAACCTCACATCTACACATTCGAAAGTATTCACACCACAAAAAAAATCGATCTAATTTAATGAAATTTGTTCCTACGAGCTTGCGCAAAGAAGTACTTCTCAGCACACATTTGCGTGCGCAAAGTCACACTTTTCCGCACGCCGCGCGCATAAGATTTTTATCCGCAGTGAGTGCGGGAAACTAAAACTATGGAAAATTTGAATTCTTTTTAGTTGCTGTAGACTATTTTTATGCAATATATATATATAGCCGTTGCAAGGGTATATCCTCTTTACTTTTCAACTGTATTTCAGTATTTCCTAATAAACAGGAAAAAGATGTAATAAATACCTTGTATAATGATGAATAAAATTGTCAAACAACAATAAGTGCACTTGTCAACTTTGACATGATGTCAGATGTTTCCTAGGTTTCTGTCAGAAAGAATCTACAAACTCAACACTCAACCATCTCAACACCGACACTTTATTTCTATTCGCGATAGAAAATGAGCGTACGCCATCTATCGAAGTTCTTGAAAGCTGTCAAAGCGGTATGTGAGATCCATGTGAGATCTCAGCGGTATGTACCTATACTTTGTTTTCATTTGTCCACATTTGTTTTTTTTTGTGCTTGTTGGCCATATCATCAAAACAAACCGCTCAGAAGTGTTCAAGTTGCTGCCGTCAGGTAGGGCAACGTGTTATTTTCTATCGCGAATTCATCAAATAAAAATAATGAAAAAGAGCAGTTCTGATTCTGACGACCATCAGCTATCAGATACCATCCTATTAGAATATTAGAGGCAGCAAACTCTGAAAGTTATTTTGCAGATTTACAAAACACATATCAGCTAAATATAGGTGGAGAGTATACATGCATATATCAAGAAGTGTTTCTTGATTAAAATAAACTTGAATTCGAGTCAAAATTCAAGCTAACATTGTTTTTGAAGAAGCAAAATGTGGGATACCGACCGAAAGAGGTCAATCTCTTTACAAAACCATTTTTGGGTTGGCCGGTGCTTTTTTTATATTCTTTGTTAAATGATAGGAAGCTCGTAGGAAAAATGTTGTTCCTAACACGTAAGCAAACTGTCTTTTCGCACGCAAATGCTTTGACCTTTCAATTGATAAAGGGCGTTATTTTGAACATTCATTATAAAAAACGTTCTGCCTTTTTTCCACTGTCAACAAAATTTTGTATTACGCAATGTTTATTAAACATTGTACTAGGAATATCTGTTGGCATTATTGAATAAAACATTTTTTTCTTTCGGAAAATATGAGGAGTACCTACGAAGTTTTTACAAGAGTAACAAAATGAAAATATTTAATCTGTCGTCTGGTGAAAATTAGAGAACCGTATTACCACCCAGGAATGTTCTGAAAAAAATGTCAGGGGCTGAGTGTAGTTTCAATTATTCTTCTACAATTTCTTCTGGGTTTCTTCGACTACTGAAAGGATGGTGATCCTCAAAAATGCGCACACTGTTTCACCACTATACCGGGTGACACAGAAGACATATATGTAACAGCCTGTAGTTTTTTAATTTGAAGAGATGAAAATTTGAAATTCACAAGGGTTATATTATCGATGATAGCGCTTCCCTTAAACCCAATGACAATTTTGTTCAACCACCTGTTTGATTGGAAGTAGACCCAATTTTTATTTTTCAAACAGCACCCTATATATATATTTCTGTAGTCTATCTTATTTGCCTTGAAATTCTCTATGCAACTATATGTATCACAATTTGATATTCGTTCATTAATGTTGCTGTTAAACTGCATTTTATTTAAATACATCAAGTTATGCTGTGGCCCGAATACAATATATATAACATTTCGATGAGAAGATTGACCATAATTTCAATGAGTTTAAAAAAATCATCCGAAAATAACTCTGCAATCTGTTTCATGATATTGAGTTATCGAAATTATCCTCTGGAAGAGGAACATTCACTATAGCCAGTGTATAAAGTTATTCGCGATAGAAAATAATAAGCGTACGCCACCTATCGGAGTTTTTGAAAGCTGTCAAAGCGGTCTGTTTACTTTGTTTTCATTGGTTCACATTTGTTTTTCGTTCCTGCTTATTGGTCACATCCATCAAAACAAACCGCTTAGAAGCGTTCAAAAGTTGCTGTTAGGTGGAGCGACGTGTTATTTTCTATCGCGAATAGTATATTTTGGGATTTGGTAGTTATTTACTGAAACTGTGCTTATTTTCAGTGAAAATAATGAGTAGCATTCATGCTGCAAATATTTCCGAAGTGCACGAAATGCCTATTTCGGAAATAATTCGACCATTTCAACCCGAACTAGATGAAGACAAGGTGCAGTCACTCATGATCACGCTCTCGGATTCGAAAACGGCTGAGCGAGTGCCCCCGATCGATGTATTGTGGATAAAAGGACGAGAAGGAGGCAATTACTTTTACAGCTTCGGGGGTTGCCACAGATTCGCTGCACACCAGAGACTGCAAGCGAAAAATATCAAAGTGAAATTGGTCCAATCGACCATCCAAGATCTCAGATGTTATTTAGGTGGCAGTACTCCAGATTTGAAATGATAATTGTGAATGCACTTGAGCGCCCTACGGCGATAAAGTGGTACAGATGACATTAAATTATGTGAGCGGGCTTTAAAAGGTCACTTCATATATCTGCTAGTGCATAATAGTTATTTATGTAACATTGTATAAGAGGCTCTATGGATCGTAGCGAAAGCAAGCAATAATTAAGTTAGGCTAGAAAGATATGCTACATTTTATGCACTATTGGTATATTAAAATATTTCATTGTGAATGCCCATTTACCTCTCAAGCATGATAGAAATACATCACAGTGTCAGTGAGGCTGCATTATTCAGAGATTATATCAGAAACAACAATATTATCGACGTTACGCTGTTTTATCAAATGGTCAAAGGCTATGGACAATGCGTCTGGGGGATATAACTTGCGAATTTTTCCAGGTACAAGTTGAAAATATCAACAGATATTTTTTTGATGATCACCATTACAATAATCGATCATTTATAATGGCAAAATTCAGTCTGGTCGGAAGCTGAAAAATTCCCAAAATTTTGGATATTCGTATAGTGCCTCGTGCCTCGAGTGCACCCACAGGGTTCTATATTTTTTCGTGAAAACGGTGCGTCTAAACGAAAAAATAAGAGACATTTTCAAATTATAATTAGGTATTCATCCGTAATTCTGCATGATATTGTGAGCGAAAAAACAGAATGGTAACCCCAAAACCGTCAATAGAGTTGGCATCAGCTGACTCACGCAACTGATTCATCAATCGTCTCTAGATGATAGTCCATATGATTCACTAGAATATCTGGAATTTTCATTGAGCGGTTCTCTATATAGTTATCAAAGGAGAACTTCAACACCTTTTGTATTGTCAAAACGAATCAAATTAAGACATTTCATAAAGTGTGGACTGATCAAGCATTTTTTATGTAAATAATGATAGTCTATGCGTTGTTCGAAATTGTTGAATTTCAGAGCTCATTTCAAACGAACCTTTATCTGACCGGCATTTGGCAATACGTCGAATAAATGGTGACGTCAGTTTTTATGCTTTTTCGTTATTGGTCAGATAATCTTCCATTTCCACTCATGAAACAAGGTTGTCAAGTTATCATGGAGATGTTAGAGTCCTGTCGTTGAATAATACATAATAGGAGGAATCCATGATATTATAGTTCATTCTAGACTTTTTCGAGTAACCAGCATGTCCAAATATTTTTTATTATCAATAACAAAATAACATGTGAATGTTGAAGAATTGACAACATTGTGCTGAATGCTGAGAACTGACAAGACCACGCCCACAAGTCGTGTGCGTTGTGTTGTCACGTTCACCGATTCGAATGTCCTCTAGTGTGAGTTAATATAATTATTATTTACACAAACTTATTATAAGCAATGAGCCCCATATCATGATGGGACATTTCTAGACAATTGCATGTTTATTGCTAACTAGGAATATTACCAATACTCAATTGAGAATTCATGAATTATTGAATAACTAATATTTCTGAAGTTACCAATCGTATTTCAACATATGGCAACTGTGCTATGATCTGCCCCTACTTACGAAATCGTGGCGTCCCGTTCGAAAGTTACTATGGCATTATTGATGATTTTTGCACCTAAAAATCTACGGATATTAAAAAAAAAAGGAAATAGAAAGGTATTTGAGTGATGATTCTATTTACGAAAAAGAAATTAGTCAACTCGTCTATTGCTGAGAAGAAACCAGACTCTTTATAATTGTTTGCCCATTGCTCCCTTCCTAAGGCATGTCATTCGATGTGTAGGTATATATTAAATTATTTTCATCTCATTTAGCCGACATTGTCTCAATCCATTTTCAGTGAGAAAATCGAGTTGAAAACTGATTGGTCTCGATTTTTCGAAGACTTTTTTTAATTGTTCTCTCTATTACTATTCCTTCCTCTAGGGCACCTATGACCTATGTATTATATATGTGAGTCGATATGTATATAACCCTCTTTGTTCTCTTATCTCAATCATTTCACTTCCTTTCAGTGTTAAAATCAGGGTGAAAAATTGATTGGCTCTGATTTTTTGACCTAAATAAAAAATAACCACGGAGCACTCTTATTCTGGATAATACATGCAATAACCTTCAAAATAATAAAACTGTTGGTCTTCTGTTAGTATCCAATGAGCAATCGGCAAGTAGATAAGATTTATCATAAACAATAATAAAAACTTTATTTATTTTCATCAAGTATTGCACACTACCTTCTAATTTTGGTGAATTACTTTCCAACACATTATATATTATTACATAATAATTATGTTCTATTCTATCGATAATATTTATTATCTATATTTTAAAATATAATACAAAAATGGTTTGTCACATTTCACTGGTTCCTGAGATCAAAAATAATCCGACAAACTATCCATTCCCCCCTACTCTAATTACCGTTCACCCAATAATTCGGTAACCAAGATTCAGTTCAAATCGAAAAGCTTTCCCTTTATATCAAACGAGTTCCTGTTCATGAAGTAAGGCTTGTAAGGCTTTTCATTGTATCGAGTTCTCTTTCCTGTGGACTCGTTTACCTTGAAGCTAGCAGGATCTTCTTTGGTGGCGTTACTATACACTTTCATGTTTTGCGGCACTGATGCCTGCCTGACCTGGATGAGCTTCGTATCCAGAACCTCACAATCGATTTGCATCAATGGTATCATAGATGTTTTAGAAGCTGTATCTGCAAGAGAAATTGGATTTTCAATAGGCTTTTCTAGTTTTCTATTTGAATTTGAACAATGTGACATTCCTGCAAAACCATTTAAGTCACATCTAGGGCTGCACGATATTGGATTTTACATATCGATTATAGATAAGTCAAAACATCGATATATTGAAAGTTATCGATATATCGGTATTTATCGATATATCGATAGTAATCGGTATTTATCGATATATCGATAGTTATCGATATTCAACGATATATAGATATTTTTGGAATTATGAACCTATCGATATATTTAACGATATATTTTTCAGGCCTATATATTTTAATGTCTGAACACACCTAACAAAAAAATTGAAAATTAATTTTAAAATTATATAACTTGTTTTGATAATACGAAGGCAACAAAAATAATAAATTTCTCTTTTTCAATGTATTGAGAAGAAATCGATGGTTATCGATATATCGACGAATCATAGTTATCGATATATCATTATCTCAATACTTTGATAATTATCCATATTGTTTACCCCTATTTGATTACCAAGCCGAACACAGTGGAGTGTGGAGACGAATAAATAATCGCTATCATTATTGTTGATATGGTCACTAACCTAACAATTTCCACTTCTTTTTCCTAAACTTGGCACTGACGCGTATTTGTTATCAGGGCTGACACCTGATCCAAATGAATTCATCGATTCAATAGAATACAGGTCACTCTCTGATTGTATTTGAATTTATATTGAAACTACAATTCGAACATAATTGAAAATTGAATAAACCTGATCTGTCGATGCAGGTTGAATATTCTCACCACACGGATTATTTATTGCATTGCCCGGCATTCACGTTTCGGGTAGTATTGAATTCGTGCCTGTAGTCTCTGATAACATGAACACAAATTGTAACAAAGTAAAGTAGTCTGAGCTCTTGCTTTTTTTTATGTTCTGGTTCTTACGAAAAGGGATATCCTGTAATGTTCAGAGAACACTGTGAGAACCAAGGAAAATAAGGTAGGAATTGGTGTTCTTCTTAAATTTCTGAAGGTTATATGCCTCGGGGAACACCTCCCTTGGCAATGTGTTCCAGAGCCTCGCTGTTCGTTGGATGAACGAGTCTTTGGACAGAGATGTTCTGCAAGTCTCCAAAGAGACCACGAAGTGGTGCGAAGCCTCAACTCGACGGGTTAATCTCGCGGGAACTGCCAAGGGAGGAACAATTGTTGATATTTCAGAAGAGCATCGTCCATGAAAATATCTATAAAATAGAGCCAGATCGACAACTTTTCTACGGCGTTCCAGAGAAGTGAGTGAGTTTGTGAGCGAGGCATAACCCACGAGACAAATTGCCCTTTTTTGGTCAGAATCCAACAGTTTCAGGGTATGTTTGTTGCTGCACTTCAAATATGGGAACAGTATTCCAGGACAGGTCGGATCTGTGCCTTATAGATCATAAGCAGCTCACTGGAAGTGAAATAGCTCCTGGCCCGAAACAGAAAACCAAGTTTTTGGGATACACTTTTAGCAATTGATCTCAAGTGATTTTCCCAAGGAAGGTTATTGCTGATAGTAATACCAAGCATCGAAATGGATGTCTTCAAAGGTATGGTTACTCCTGACAAGCTTACGTTGGGCACAGTGAGATCGGCTCGTGATATAACATATGAGAACCTTTCGACCAGTTATTCAACGCCATTATTCACTGGTGAGTGAGTTTGTGTGCGAGGCATCTATCTACTTACTCATATTATTATAATAATAATAATTTTTTCGGTTGCAGAAAAAATAGCATGTTTCATTCGGATCAGAAGTGACTTTGATCGACTCACAAATTTTGCTTTCGTTCGGTCGCTACACGCTCCGCCTAGCAAATGCAAAATTCGCTTGTCACTTTTGATCCTAACAACACAATCTACTATTTTCAATAATAGTATCTTTATTCACACTGATCGATTTTGTCTTGCTGTATTTGAATCAAATTATTCTTTTACATGTTTTGAATGAATTACCTAACCTACATAATACTCTTTGAATTATGAGATCATAAACTTAAGTGGACTAAAACTAGTTGGATCGTAATGTTGCAAAAGTTGGCAAATAAAGTGAAGATGTACGACTTTGTAGGAACGTCTTCAAGACCTCCAGTATTATACATCAATATTATGTTATTTATATGTCATATTTAGGTCATATATGTCAAGGACCCCAACTGACGAAAAACCAACGTCAGTATGACTTCATAGGTCATTCTGCAACCTGGGTAGGTAAATGTCTCTTCAGAACTGTGAAATCCTCTCTAAACTTGCATACTGTTAAGAGTTCATCAATTGTAAAGCACTTCATCTTCTAATATTCACCCAAACGAAGCCAAATGAACTTACCATTCGATAACATTGAAGGCATAATCAAAGACATCTTCGGTCTCCTAGTTTTATTATGGTACAATGCCGGCAAAAGCATGTGCTGGTCAGTGAAAGAGACGACATAAAAAGTATCGTCCCGTCTATGGATTGCCTCGAAAAACTCCGAATATATTTGTTCCGGCCTCATCTGGAAAACCTGGATTTCGTTCTTCGGGTTATTATCAACTAGACGTTCATTTCTGTTTCTATAAAAACAAAATCACAAAAATTGCATTATAAAATGTTTTTTTTCTACGGCTATAACACAAGATTGCTCTTGTTTTACTGTGTTCCATACATCAATGAGGTACTTTGTATGTCATCAATTTTATTTCCGTATCTGATATCACAATGACTTCATTGTGTTATTATTTAAAAAAAAAACTCATCGCCCGTGGAATGTCAAATTTCAAGCAATGACAGCTCTGTTTAATAGATGAGCATTACTTGACAGGAAATCAGATGTCTACATGACAAAGAAATCCAAAATGCCGCTGTTATCTATTATAGCCGCAGAAAAATTATAGTGTATAACTTGCACGGAAAGCTAATTTCCTACTCGAGTGATTGCAGCATTCGCCTATGGCTCATGCTGCAAACTTCATTCTCCTAGGAAATCACTATCATTCCGTGCTCGTTAAACAGCTATTTCCTAATTTCCATAATGAAGGTTTTTTAGAGGAATGAAATTGATGTGTGTATAGATGAATCCATGGGGCCAACAAATTCCATTTGCTACCAGATCTTAAAGTCGCTTCTTTGTGTTTCCAATAAGTCACTGCATTAGTTCTTTTCGAGGTTCCTTTATTATCTATAAGATTTTTTGAAACTGTTCACTACTCTTTAACAATAATCTGCATTCATTTTCGATAAAGTCTTCTACTATTATCTCATTTTGTTGTTTTGATCCATTTTATGACCTTTTTGACAGTTAAGAAAAAATATGAACATCTTCTGACATTTTTGAATATTGTACTCACCTGCTTCGTTTTTGAAAAGTGCTACGCAATCTCTTGGGTTTGACTTGCTTAGAAACATTTCTATCTGGGTTGGATTTAATAGGTGAGTCAGCTGGTTTACCTATCCACCTAAAACAATATGTGAAATAATCTTAGATCATGAAATAATAATTATTTCGTTAAAACACATGGATATTTGTTCTAAAACTATGCTAACTTTCCCATATTTTCTGAAAGAATTGAAAATTTCTATTGTCATCCATGTTTTTATGGAGGTGATTGTGGTTTATTAGATTATTCCAAATTTGTTTATTTGGAGGTGTATATTAGAGTTTCTGTGATGGTATTCCGTTACCCACGAATTTCGATGGTAACGGCCGTGGCCGAGTTTGTCTATGCGCTGAAATGGGTAAGTTTCCTGTGTTGAGGTATTCATCTCACTATGAAGTTTGTAAAAAATTAATATACAGGGTGTTTCTCAAGTACGCGTAGAAAATTCACGAGCATGTTGCTGACGTCAAAATAAGAAGAAAAGTTCGTATAAATATATGTCCGAAAGTTATTCGTTTCTGAGATACAGAGTGTCAAAGTTGAATTTTTATTTTTGTTTTTTGTTAATAAGTTTCAAAATAATTGTGATATTCGAATGAAATTTGGTATCTAGGGGTATTTTTCAATGAAAATATCAAATTTCATGTTAGTTAGTTAGTAAAAAAGTTATGACTTTTCAAAAGGTTCAAAAGACATGTAGGTGGCGCCACCTTCACGAAAGAGACAAACCAACATAAAATTTGATAGTATCATTGAAAAATACCCCTAGATACCAAACTCCATTCGAATATCACAATTATTTCAAAACACAGAAATGAGAATTCAACTTTGACACTCTGTTTCTCAGAAACGATCGAAGAACTTCCGTACATAATTATATCTATACGAACTTTTCTTCTTATTTTGACGTCAGCTACATGCTCCTGAATTTTCTACACGTACTTAGGAAACACCCTGTATACCTACGTATTTTTTCATTTTTTCATAAGATCAAATGTCACTTCAGAAAAAAATAAATAAAGGAGGAACTTGGCTCGTCCACCATTGACTTACTGTCTGAAAATCCACATTCACAGACAGTTAAAATACGATTCTTTGTGCCAGTACGACGTTGCCGACATCATCAATATGTCTAGATTTCCGGAAATTGTTCTTTGAATGCAAAATAACTATATCATAACAGCAATGGGATATAATAGGTTCTTCAATTCTACTTTGTCAAGTATTATAAATAATTCCCATAAATCTCTCAATGGCTGAATGAAGTTGTTTACTAATAAAGATAAATTATGTTATTTTACGATAGTATATCTATAATTCACTATAGTTATATTACAATATGTTATTTATAACTTGTCAGTAATTTTTTTGCTAATGAATAATGAATTCGTACCTTAATAAACGGATCTATTTTCTAGGAAAGTTGCCGATTATATCTTGCAACAGCGCCTAATACTTCGAGTCCGTCCACACCTCTCAAAATACTGACAGGCACAACAAGAGGAAGAAGCTATGGGTGTCGGGTTCATTCTGTTCTGACCGATGGCAGTAAATTAGGAAGGATAGTATCATTGAATGTAGCCGATAGTGATTCATTGATTCAATGATATTTTCGTTTAGGATCGAGCTCTATTCGAGATATTTCAATGCATAAATAACAAAACCATAACCTGTCAGAATGAAGCCAACTACCCTCTGCATTCCTGCTCCGAGTGCATTTGTGGTTATGTATGTTTTTGTTTACCAGTTTTACTTCTTCTACTTTTTTCATTCGTTTTCCATTTGTTAGCTATTCGCTAGCTATATTCTTCACCATTAGCTGTTTTCAGACTAGATTCAGAATGTACGTCACAGTTTGCCACCTCGAAAATCAGAAATTGCTTCAATTTGAAAATGAAAACGACTTGGACTTTATCGGTCGCCATTCTATACAGCGTGGACATGAAACTGGAGAATTCCGAACGTATTTTATGAAAATTCATCTGAAGGAACTTCCCCATTCGCTATATAGCCGTTCAGGATGCGAAGGTACTGTCGGTTCGAATCCGGCTATCGGCTGAGAATTTTTCTTTGAAATGTGGGATTCATGGTTGTAATCCTGGCAGCACCTCGATGCCCTAGAAGTGGTTCGGATTCCACTATAAGCTGTAGGACCCGCTCTTCCTAACCCGGCACAAGTTTCGACTTCTGGGGAGTTGGTTCCCAACTTTGGAGTAGCGATATACAAATTTTACAAAAAAAATACAAACTAATAATCCAGTGACTCTAGCGTACCTATATCACTGATGCAGATTTTTTCAATCATATTTTTTCACGGGGAATTATCATGGAAAAAATGTATCTAAAAATAAAATGTCAGAATCTTTTTTGTGTAGAATCATCGTATCTTTTTATTTGAATGGATCTGTTTCTGTTGAAAAATCAGTAGGACGTTTTTATTGCTATAAAATATCTGGCGTAGCACCTCGGAAACTTTTGAGACATTATTCAGAAAACCACACTTATACCTAGGATATAGGATAAAGTTATTCCGTATCAAGGATCCATGTTTTACTAATATCTGGACAATTTTATGCAGAATGCAGTTTGGCAAAATATTCTTCAAACCTTTCTAGTTCCAGAACCAATCTTGCACTTTCAGTTTGATTTATAGTGGCAGGACACATAAAGAATGGTGAAAACGTTGACGTTTTATTCCTAATTGGATCATTGTCCTCTGGTGCCCAGAGTAAATTTCTGCCAGGATGGTTCCCCAATTTAGGCATATCTTTTTGTATCAACTCTAAATCATGTTTTGTACTAAAAGGGTTCCTGTGAAAAGAAAACATTATCTTGAATTATTGCATCGATGGACAGATTTTTCAATCTTTCATACCTTATTAAATTCAGATTTACACCTAAAACCAACAAAAATACACAAAGGTATAAACTGGGTTTTGTTTTGCTATCTTTTTTACTAGGCGTTTTATCCTCATATTGTGCTAATCTTTCTTTCAACTTGATGTTTTCCTGAAAAACAAATCAACTATTTTTTGAATGTTGATGCTAGTGACCCGTGACAAGTAAAACAACTTTCTTGTCAATTATTTCTTAGATGAATATATGTATCCCTGACGAAAGTTTGGGTATTTCTGCAAACTTTCAGAAATAGGGTTCCATCCTTTCAATATACTCGTGAAGTCGAAAAAACTAAAATCGCTTCCCCTTGCCCCAAAAATTGAAGAAGAGAAAAAACTTTGAGAAAAGAGGTCTAGAATGGGAGGGCTGATAATAAATTATTGGCATTCAGTCACTCCACTGTGTCGCTGGGGACCTAAATTAATGTTTGCAACACTACTCACACTTTCTTGATGTAAATAATAAGTCTATGCGTTGTCGTTGTTCAAAATCGTTGAATTTTAGAGCTCATTTCAAACGGTCCGTCATGGCCGCCATTTGGCGATACGTCGAATAAATAGTGACGTCAGTTTTTATGTTGTTTCGTTATTGGTCAGATAATCTTCCATTCCCACTCATGAAGCAAGGTTGTCAAGTCATCAATTATAATCAAGTTATCAGAGTCCTGTCCTTGAATGAAACATGATAGCAGGAAGCCATGCTATTATGGTTCATTCTTGACTTTTTCGATGTCCAAATATTTCTTATACTCCATAACAAAATATCATTTGAATGTTGGAGACTTGGCTGAGAACTGACAAGACAATTCGTGCGCCGTGTGACAACCTTCACTAGTTCGAATGTCCTCTAGTGTGAATTAATATAATTATTATTTACACAAATGTATTATAAGCAATACAAGGGAAATTTTTGAGACAATTAATTTTTCATTGCTAATTAGGAATAATACCAATACATAATTGAGAATTTATGAATTATTGAATAACTAATATTTATGAAGTTCCCAATCGTATTTCAACATATGGCCACTGTGCTACGGTTTGCCCCTACTTATGAAATCGTGATGTCAGTTTATACTCGCGGTAAATTTCTAGCCGTTTGAAAATTACCGTGGCATTATTGATGATTGTAGCACCTTGAAACCGACCAAAGGATTCTAAAAAAAATATTAACTTCAAAGGTATTTGAGTGAGGATTCTATTTAAGTAATAAAAAAATAGTCCACTCACCTATTGAGATTTTATATTAATAATCACACTTGGTCAATAATAGGTAACCCGTTATTGGTGCACTAGGGCCATTTGGCACTAGGACCAATGAAAGTGTCCGATATTGAGGTTTTTATCTCTATTTGTGAAATTTGTATACAGTGTCATTCATAAAGTCGGCATCATATGGTAAAAACTTTTATTAATGACTTATTTTGGAATACGAGTTGGACGTTAAGTTTTGCTTCGAAAAAGATGAAAACTGGCCTACTCAATCAGGGTCACGTGTCACGTGACTTTCGTTACATATTAAAAGTGACATTTTTTCAAATTAATCGCTGAAAGTAGGCTTATTTATTCGAATATCGAAAAAGTTTACTTGAAAAAGTTGTTTCCATTTCAATTTTACACATGCTTCTCGAATTTGATCTTTCTATTGCAACTTTTAGATTTTGATTTTTTTTTAATTTTTCGAAATTTCTGTAACCCGCTTCCAAATTCTGTTATGTTTGATGCAAAGTTGATATATCGTCAAGCATTTAGAAACAAAATTCATTCAAACTGATCTTTTCAGTACTGGAAAAATAAATTCAAATGAATTTTGTTTCTAAATGCTCGATTCAAACATAACAGAATTTTGATTGTTATGTTTGCATCAAACATAACAGAATTTTGAAAATTTTAAAAAAATATCGAAATCTAAAAAATGCAATAGAAATATGAAACCTGAGTCACATAATGTAAAATTCAAATAGAAACAACTTTTTCAAGTAAACTTTTTCGATATTCGAACAAATAAACCTACTTTCAGCGATTAATTTGAAAAATGTCACTTTTGACATGTGGCGAAAGTCACGTGACCCCGTTTGAGTAGGCCATTTTTCATCTTTTTTGAAGCAAAACTTGACGTCCAACTCGAATTTCAAAATAAGTCATCAATAAAAGTTTTTCCCATATGATGCCGACTTTATGAATGACACTGTATATACTTTTTTATCGTAAAATCAACTTCCACTTCAGAAAAAATAAATGAAAATGGAACTTGGTTCAAGATTCAGAATTCTAATCACCCTGTATCTGTTCCGATTAAATATCATAGTAAATAGTAAATCAAAAGTTGGTATAGGGACATGTGAACGGTTTTGGTGTGGCCGATAATAAATACAAACAAATCCTAAAGTTGAAAAATCTCGATTTTGAACACCCTATATCTCTGTAATAATTTCCGATAAACCCCACCACCATGTATCGATGAAATCAGCTCTTCAGGGAGAATCTAAAAATACAATAAAATACATGGTATTCCATTCAAAATAACAAAGTTGTTGCTACTTTTAGATAGACGCGGCAACCTTGCATTACTGAAATATTTCAAATGAAGAGAGCGTATTCTAAAATATGAGCATGTATATTTTTATAGATTTCTTCCGACTGATTCTCGATATAGAGATAGTATAAGCTCGTGGTGACATACCCTGAATACGGGGGGGGGGGATAATGGGTGATGGTTTTAGTCACCATTTTTGATTTTTTTTACTGAAATGAGATTTTGTCCTATTTTCTTATCATCCTGTATATTCCACAAGAGTGCTTTTTTTGTCTCTCATTGTCCTCCACAAATTATGAGAATAGTTCTCCCCAATAGTCAGCTCAAGTGGAGTTCTAGAGAAAAAGTTCAAGAAATGCAAGACTTTCGAAAAAAAATCGAATTTTTGTTACAATGGCCAATTAAGGAAAAATCACGAAAACGTCCCGAGATGAGGTCCCAGTGTATGATACGACTGACTTTTGATCAGAAAAAATTTCTCGAGTTCTGGCAGCATTGGAAATGTAGACCCTAGTGTAATGGTTCCACTTTACACCCTGTGTAAGTTTTGTTCTGCGGACTTTTTCAGAGTGTTCTAGCTCTCTTTGAAGCCGATAAAACATCACATCTGATATCAAAAACCGCATGAAGATTGGTCAATTTTTTCAAAAAATACAGGTCTTCGAAATAGAGTCAAATTATGAGTGGTCCATTCAGTGTGTTGAGAATTGTAAATAAATTTCTCTCCTGAATGATTCGACGATACATCAACTTTGCATCAGAAATTTGAAGTATCGATTATTATTTTCTGAAGAAAATCATATTTTTCACATATGTCACTTCCGGTTCGACCGGAAGTGACAGCTGATTGGGAATATAGATCACATGACGCAATGATAGCACCAAAAATTTCAGATTGATGTCGCTTTTGGTTAGTTAGTTAGGTGAATAACCCTGTATATTTCCGCATTGATGGTTAGCGAAATATGTTTCTGGCACGTGAAAGCCCATCACCAGTATCCAGAGAACGAGAATAAAATATTACCTACTACATATTAGGAATAAAACACAAGCTTCGAAAATCTAACTTAAAGGCAATTATGCAAGTCGGTAATGTGTTTTTATCAGTGTCCTAGAAGTTAATAGATAAAACTATACGTTATCAATTCAAACAACACAAGTAAATGTTTCAAATACAGTAGGTAAGGTATCTACCTACCTCGCTAAATATATACAGTGTATTCATCGTAAGGACTAACTTTTATTTTTTTCAATCTTGATGTTTTTTTTTTCCTTAAATCGTGGCCAACTTAAAATACTGATTTTCATCATTCTAGAATATAGCGTGTTGGAAAAAACAAAATCACATTTTTTTAATGATTGATAATTAATGTCAATGAAGTTATTAATTTTTTTTTAAGAAGAACTAACAACGGATTCCTATTGGATTGAGGATCACTTCAATAATATCTGTACCGAATTTCATAATTCTAAAATACAAGTACATGACAGTACATGTACGTTTCAAATGATTCTGAATGAGAAATCACCGTCAGTAGATGTGAAAAAAATCCCTAATGGTAGTTTTTGAAATTGGAGTCCATAAAATCTAACCTAACCTGACCCACGAAAAATTTAGACATCTACTAGTTGATAGGGTTTTTCAAATAACAACCTAATTAGAAACAGTTCATCAAGATCGATCGAAAAATAAAGGTTAGGACTGGTAATAAGTTTTGGGGGTGGACACACTGTGTATTCTTTTTAGAGATTCAAATTCAAAACATTTGAACGGGCAGGTGGAGTGACGTCTGTACACGCTGAGGGTCTAATTTATCAATATCTTTTTTTTTTGTATTCTGGACATTGCAAAAAAGCGCGATCCATCACTGGAAAGACAAAACAGTGTTATGAAAGATCGTGAATAGTTATATTTTTCTACATACGTCAAAAAATGACAAGGTTTGCGCATTGATAACAAAATGCGAAGTGACACTTTTTTTCAGTTTCCTACGTTACCATGATACCTTGCACAAAACAATGCGCGAAGTACCTACTTCGCGCATAGTTATGTAAAATATATGAGATATTTATGTCAACTTAATGGTCCTCAATCGAGAAAACATCCACGAAATCATTTATTTCTGAATGTTAACAATAACTTTGTTTTATCTCTTGGAGCGCACGAAAGGAAATTCCTATTATGTTCGGCGAACATCGTCCGTACCTAGGGAGGATAGGGGGAAGCCTTTTAAGCCAGTTCAAAACTATTTTTTATATCAAGCTAAGCATATTTTTACTTTAGAACTCTATTTTTTGACGTTTGTAGAAAAAATGTTGTTTGCAACTCGAGCGCGAAATATTTTGGTGATCTCGACTATTTTTTTAACGAGGCGTAATCACCAAAGTAGCATTTCGCGCTCTAGATACAAAAATAACTATTTTCTACAAACGTCAAAAAATGACAAGGTTCGCGAATTGATAACAAATTGCGAAGTGAGACTATTTTTCAGTTTCCTACGTTACCATGATACCTTGCTGCACAAAACAATGTGCAAAGTAAAACAGTGCGCGAAGTACCTACTTCGCGCATTGCTATGTAAAATATATGACATATTTGTATTTCAACTTTATGATCCTCAATCGAGCAAACATCTACGAAATCCTTTATTTCTCAATGTTCAACAATAACTTTGTTTTATCTCTTGGAGCGTACGAAAGGAAATTCCTATTATGTTCGTGGAACATCGTGCGTACCTAGGGAGGATAAGGGGAAGCCTTCTAAGCCAGTTTAACACTTTTTTTTATATCAAGCTAAGCATATTTTTACTTTAGAACTATCTTTTTTGACGTTTGTAGAAAAAATGTTGTTTGCAAATCGAGCGCGAAATACTTTGGTCATCTCGACTATTTTTTTAACTCGGCTACGCCTTGTTAAAAAAATCAGATCTCGATCACCAAAGTATGCCTAGGCTGCGAAATACTTTTTTCACAAAAAAGTCATAAGCGTTGGTATGGAAATGACATGTTTGAATGTATACAATAGGTACTTATGTATGTACAAAGGACGTGAAACTGTCTATTATAGTTGAGTTTGCTAGGCCTCGGCTATCAATCAGGCGAGACAATAGACAGTTCTCGCTGAGGTGCATATTAAATTTTTTCGTCGACCTCAAATACGGCTACGGAAGTATTGCCTACGAAATATCTCAGTTATTGTATGAAGTAGGTTTGTGAAATTTGGAGCGTCGATATAATGACATAAGAGCTAGAATTTGAGCACATTGACAAGTCGAAGTTAACTTCCGGTCTGACCGGAAGTAACACAAACTTTCTTATTTTGAATGGAAACCCTATTTTTTTTTCTTTTCGCTTCATTCAGCATTCAATTCCCTTTCTAATGACATATCACAAGTTGGTATCTAACCAGAAACTATTTATTACTTTTAATTTTATTTTTGCGTATGGCGATAATCTGTTTTGTTATTTGAAGAATAATTATTGGATTTTTTGGTATTTCATTTCAAAAAATGACTTTCTATTATATCATTAGAAAGAAATGGTTATGCTGAATAGTACAGGCAAGAAAAAGTTGTATGTTCCTATTTTAGTTATGGACCTACAGAGTATTGTTTTTTTCCCAATTTTTCCAATATTTTTTTTGGCGGCTTTTTATAACGCCGACGAATGAAAATAAAATATCACAGTAGTAGCAACTGTTATCAAGTGCCGTATGGTTTCCATAGCCAACTTTTCAATTTTTGGCTTTCATTTTGCTTCCACGGCCTATTCGGTGAATTTCCATAATAATTTTTTTGTGATTTAGTTTCTGGTTAGATACCAACTTGTGATATGTCATTAGAAAGGGAATTGAATGCGGAATGAAGCGAAAAGAAAAAAAAATAGGGTTTCCATTTAAAATAAGAAAGTTGATGTTACTTCCGGTCAGACCGGAAGTTGACATCGACATGTCAATATGCTCAAATTCTAGCTCTTATGTCATTATATCGACGCTCCAAATTTCACAAACCTACTTCATACAATAACTGAGATATTCAGTAGGCAATACTTCCGTAGCCACCCGGTATATCCACATCACGGTCCTATTCACACGTGAAATCTATCGGATTTCGTGAATAATTAATTTGCGCGGACCAGAGTTGCCAGTTCTGTTTTTATTTCATCAGTAAATACCTTTGAAAAATTCATATCAATTTTATGCTATACGAAATCTAAGAAAGTATAATGAAATCTACCTATGACGTCAAAACATTATGTACTTTCAGTAAACAGAAAAGTAACCTATATCCAACAAAATAGAAACAAACAAAACAAATATTCTCATGAAAAAATAATCATATTCCTGATTCTCAATTTAAAAATACTTCACAAATATCACAAAATACAGTTACATAGGGACTAAGATTTGAGTATGTAAAAAACAGGAACGAATAGTCAATTTAAACAAAAATACAAAACAAATACACACACTCTTATAACAGAGGTACATAAAAAGTTGAATTTGATCTAAATCAGATAAAGCATTATCCTCTTATATATCATAAGTACATACGTATACGTGAATTTATTACTTATTTTGTAAAATTAATTCAAACAGAGCGTGCCAAAGTATCATACAATTCATAAGTGTATAATATGATTAACTGAAGATTAATAATAGTACAGGATATGTCACGAGCTTACACTATCTCTATATCGAGAATCAGTCGGGAGAAATCCATGAAAATATGCAAACTTATATTTTAGAATACGAACCTTTCATTTAAAATATTTTCAGCAATGCCGTGTTGCCGCTTCTATCAAAAAGTAGCAACAACTTTGTTATTTCAAATAGAATACCCTGTATTTCATTGCATTTTTAGATTATCCTTGAAGAGGATCGATACATCACACTTGGGGTCTATCGGAAATGATTACAGAGATATAAGGTGTTCAAAATCGAGATTTTTCAACTTTATGATTTGTTTGTGTGGAAACAATTCGTTATCGGCCAAAACGCTCACATGTCCCTATCTCAACTTTCGATTTATTATTTACTAATATTCAATCGGAACACATACAGGGTGATCAGAATTATGAATTAGGTAAAGCATTATCCTCTTTTGGTTTATACATATCATAAGTACCTATATGTAAATTTATTACTCATTTTGTAAAATAAAGTTAAGAACGCTTGATACTCGTTGTACTTTTTAAATAACTTCAAGAGTAATTACCTCTCCGGCTCTCGGTACTGAATACAATGAATAACTGACTCGTCTTTGCGACTCATCTACCCAAAAACGACGACCTGTTTAAATTACATAACATAAATGTGAATCAAGAAATGATTAATGTAGTGGAATGCTTCAGTTTTTCGGGGTGGCGTCTGCAATAGCTGGCATGCGGTCCTTAACAATTAGTTTAAACAGAGCGTGCAGAAATATCATACAATTTATAAGTGTATCTGATTAACTAAAGATCAATAATATAGGTAATTATAATAATAAATAAGTGTCGAAATATTTTTCTGTAGGTTATGAAATGTTTCAATAGATCAGTAGATCTATAAGCAAATCAGGGAATCTACTGAAAATTCAGTAGAACTGGCAACCATGCAGCGTACGAAAATTGTTTGCGGACGAAAAATGCTTGTGAACGAAAAGTTATCTTGAGGTCGCCAAAAAGTTTCGCCGCCATGGTATACACATTATTTTTAATGCAATCGTCAGAATTATTGAACTGGATAATCTCGTGGATAATTGAAATGACATTTTGAACGAATACAAAATATTTTGACAGTTCTTGACAAAAGGAAAATATGATCTCAACATGATCTTACACTGAATAACCCCACTATTGTCGTAGTTTTGGAATGTCGAATTGGGAAGTGGGCTTTGGTTAGGCGGCCGTTGCTATGGGTAACGGCTGCGAAGTTGTACTTTGCGTGCAGTGTAGAGAACGCGAAGTACTCTCTTAGTACTCACAAAAATCAAAATTGATTTTTGGAATCTGAGGTAACCATTGGATTTGTCATAATAAAATTCTCAAGAAGATTACCCACTTAACCGACTTTTAGTATTTTTTTAATCACTACCCATACATGAATGGATAACCTGTGTTTTTACTGTGAATTTGATGAATTCATAAAAAAATATATTCAACATTGATTGATAATATCCATCATATTATCTATAAAAACGCATCTGCTGATTGAGAATTTTTTGATAACTGACTCCATAGAGATTAGATAATATGGAGAAGGTTTTGTGCGAGGTTTTGTGGCTTGATATTTCTATATATGTCAGAGATTATTTATCAGCAATAATTAGGTACATTTAAAAATAAAAATTGAATTAGTTCATTGTATTAATGGAAATTTTGAATGAAATAATAATAGATAATTTGTGTGTAATACACTCCTGCTCACCATATCTGGCAACTATTAGTGAACTTCCAAAATATCAAATACTACTTTACCAGCTCTACACAGTCAGTAAAATAGTTTAATTACTGACGGATTAAGATTTAAAAAGCACCATTACATGTATTCAATTTTGCATGGATATTTTAAATTATACTTGAGGTGGATTAATAAAACATGCACTGATTGCATTATTACTACATTATAATTATTGTAAGTTAAAAGAAGCCCAACCTGTCAGTGGCTTAGTGTATACTTGTTTCCCAATGCTTTGTGTGTTGGCTTCTACAGATATCCTGTTAGCCATGAATGAGACAATATTTCACAGTTGTATATTGCATCAGTATCCAATACATTTCCAAATGGATCATGTGATCATCAATTAATCAGACAAATATAAAATTGTGTTTCTATGCTCAAAAGAGTGGTGATAAAGAAGTGAAAATAGAAGATATCACCCTTTATATATTATTGTGAGCAGAAAAATTTACCGATTCATAAAAAAATATGAAAAACAGGGTGTACCATTTAAAAAAATTATTAAATTTGTGGGTTTTCATGCTTTTAGGGATCACTCTGTAAAACTTCTGATAAGGGCTGTGGAAAGGCCTCAATGCAGTATTCAACTTCCACAAATTGTTTTTTTTTATGAAAAAATAACATTAATATAGGGGATGGGCCTTTTCGATGGATAACCCTGTACATAATGATAGTTATTGATGTTTTATGAATCCACCTTACTGATAAAAACATAGCATAGATATAGGGATATAGAATGTATAGATTAAAACAATAATTTCACATAGTTCATGATTTTGAACTTACCATTTGTAATTTTCTATTTTCTTCAGCCAATTGCTTGACTTGTTCCTCCAAAGAAGTCACATAGTCCTTCTTCCTTTTCCGAGACAAACTAGCAGATTCTCGATTTTTTATTTTCCTCTGATACAGTTTGAATACCTTTGGATCAATGTTGGCATTTGCTATAGAGAGCCTATTACCAGTATTGATTATGACAGGGGGTATTACTGCCTGAGTTATCTTACTCATGGTTGTAAGGGGTTTATTAGAAACTATAGAATTATGAACTGATGTAAATTTAATATTATCCAAGACTATGATATTGCTATTTTGTGAAGTTACAACAGGCTTAAGATCTGAGTTCAGAACAACCACATTGGGTTTCTTCAATGGCAAGGTACTACTTCTACTTCTAGGTATGATTGTTTTATGTTTTTGAATTTGAGAAGCATTTGATGATAGTTTTACTGGTTCATGGAGAATATTTTTCTTAATTTCTTTTGTGATATTCACCTTCAATGACACTGGTGAAACTGGTGGGGAATTTATTAGAATTTCTTGGTTGATGTTTATCAGTGGACTATTTGGTTGTTGCAAATTGAGAGGAGATGGAGAATTCCTATAATCTGGTGATCCAGAGTTAGTTGATGATTCCCATTTCACTTCAGATAAAATATTGGGGAATTCTTTCACTTTGGAGTTAGAAAAATGCATTTTACTGTTTTCTGACATTGTGTTTGGTAGTTCCTTATCAGGAGTATCAGGACTGTAGGGCGGAGACGCAATCTCCGATAATATTTCTTCTGGGCTTTTATCAAAGAAGGAGTTCAACATGCCAAGCTCATCTTCTTCAGTGTTGAGCAGTAGAGGAATATCTAAATCTGCTGATAATTGTGACAAGAAGTCTTCATCAGAGGTAACATCCATATAATCTTAACAATAAAAGTATCATACATTAATAGAGTAATCTGGCAAGGGAAAGAGAAAACATACCTGTAGAGTAGGAGTTATCACTACATGATTCTGGAGAATTTTTGAAAATGTATTCCTCCAAGCCAAAGTCATCTGTGGTTATCATTTTTTATTCAATTTCAACATGTATTGTATCAAAACAATTCCATTTACCCACAACTCTTCTCCTAACCTTATCAAAACTCTAACCTAAAACTTGGTACTTGGTCAAAAAGTGTCAAAGCCACTACAAGGATCAACAAGAACTCAAACTCAAGAACACGAGAATCGAGAATACAACAACAACTGAGCAATGACAACCTATGCTAACAAGTGACAACTGTTGTTGTTGATGTTGAACTGTGCTGACAACATACAGCCACAGAATACTCAATCAACATCGCATTGTGCTGTTGTACAATGCAGCGAGAGACGAAGGACTATGATTTTTCAGGTAAATAGTAATCTCAAATAGTTTCAATTATGAAATTTTGTCATTTCTCATCAAAATTCCTTCTGCCACTTCTGCAATAGAAGGTAATACTAATATGTTGAAAATGTCTACAACAGACCAGTCCTCTCTTGTGATTGCATGAATCCAATCTTCTTGCATTATTTTGAAAATTTTACGTGTATTTTTATTAGCTCCTATTGCAGAAGGAATTCCGATGAGACATCAGAAAAATTATCAAAGTTCAAAAATGAAAACTAAATGTGAGTGACTATAGTAGGTGCTTACTTTTAAATCATATTGTACCAACCAGACTCCTTCGTCTTCCGCTGCAGTTTTTACGCATTGTACAACAGCACAATGTGATGGCATGAGCGAATTGATAAATAGCCGAAAAATACGATTCGTATGCCAAAATAATTGTGAAAAACTATTTCAGTCACTTGTAAACAAATAAGAAAAGTGGGGTTGTGTTTCAATGTTGTACCTCCAGGGTCGGTCATCTGACAGTTCTTGCACGCAACCCATTCGCTTGACCCATTCGCTCATGCTAGAGTGACTATATAAACCATCACATTGTGCTGTTGTACAATGCACAAAAACTGCAGCGGAAGACGAAGGAGTCTCGTTGGTTCATAATCTGAGGTTCATAATTATGACACAGATTATGATTTAAAAGTAATGCGGTTTGGGAATGGTTCGAAAACTATAGGCTCTCGTAGATCACTACGCGCTTGCGCGAACCATTATTTCAAATGTAACATAATTTCAAGCTGTTGGCAACACTAGCGTCTAGCGCAAGGAGCAATTCCGATAAACAACGTAGTGGGAGAACCGCGCCAAGCGAGACGCGGACGCGGGCAAACATCAACTGTGCCCATCACCTATAGCGACGCGCGGCTGACAACACATGTTATTAAAAGTCTAATAACACAAAACTAACACTTTGAATACTGATATGAGGATTTGGAGATTGAGGCCATAAAATGAAAAAATAAAATTGGGATACCTATACCTATTATAGGTATTCATAAAATACAATATTATTCTTTAAGCATTTAGGTTTACATCATGAATAAATAAGAAACTGAATATCTGAATACATTTTTTCTTTAATTAATTACTAATAATAAGACTAGTGATAATGGCAAGTAAGTTGATATATTGTCAGTATATTTGTGGTATCGTAATGGTATAACCAATAATCAGTGATAGAATAATGTACAGAATGTATTATTCCATTTGAAAATCCAAAATTGGTAGATGGTCAGAAGAATGACGTGGTCATCGCAGAGAGTATCTGGAGAAAATGTGAAGTTTGAAATAACCCAATCAAACCCGATATTGTTGAATTCTTTATAACAATCTCTAACCGATTATGGAATGAAATACAGGGTCTCTCATTTGAAAATCGAAAGTTGATCTCATTTCCAGGAGAATTGAAAGATGAAAAAAATTTCCTAAAATGTGAGATAAAGCCCTCTAGTGAGCATATTCGATGTTCCAAATTTCAGAAATATAGCTAGAAAACAAAAGGAGAAAAAGGTGGTATACCATGAGTCCGTATTACCCGGTATAGATATGAAAATATTTCAAGATGAAAATTATCATGACTATTATTATTATTCTGTATTCGATTTTTTTTCAAATATGTATATATCTGACGGTTTGGCTAATATCGAAGGAGAACGCACTATATTGACTTACCCTGTAGATTACATGTTAGTTAAGAACGTATTCAAATATTCAATTCCATAATCAAAACTGAAATGATTTTTCCAGATTTTTTTTCTGACACATCAGAACATACAGGGTGCTCGGAACAAACGATCTACAGGGTACTAGTTGATTTTTCCAAATGGAATACCCTGTATTCCATTGCATTTTTAGATTCTCTCTGAAGAGCTGATTTCATCAATGTATCACACTTGGGGTCTAACGTTCATAATTACGGAGATATAGGTTGTTCAAAATCGAGATATTTTAATTTTAGGATGTTTTTGTGTGTAAACTATTCATTATTGGTCAAAACGACTCACATGTCCCTATCCCAAGTTTTGATTCACTATCTACTGACATCAAATTGGAACAATACAGGGTGGTTCAAGATTCAGAATTCTGATCGCCCTGTATTTGTTCCAATTATTAAATGTCAGTAGATAGTAAATCATAAGTTAACATAGGAACATGGAAGCCGTTTTGACCGATAAGTAATAGTTTCGACAGAAAAACATCCTACTTAAATTTGAAAAATCTCGATTTTTGAACACCCTATATCTCTGTAATCATTCCCGCTAGACCTCAAGTGTGATACATTGATGAAATCAGCTATTCAGGGATAATCTAAAAATGCAATAAAATACAGGGTGTTCCTTTTAAAAAAATCAACTTGTACCCTGTCGATCGTTTGTTCCGAGCACCCTGTATTTTCTGATATAGCGGAAAAAAACTTAATCAAATGATTCTTCAAATTTTGCGATCGGTTCAAAAATAACCTAGCTAGAGGGGGGGCATTTATGGTGAATCACCCTGTACATGGAATATAATGTTAATTCATTTGATTTTGATACCTATACCTACCTATCTACAGAGATAGTCTGCTAGATCTTGTAAAAACTATCCGAACATACCTACCTAACGAATGAACGTGTTACAATAAGCACCTATATACCCGATACACCCTGTATTCATATTTCTAATATTATTTTCACATTATTGTTTCGCTCCTTCGCTCCAACGTTCGTCGGGCATGTCGATAGGTGAAGGTATATGGTGAAGGCATAGGTGATGTTTGTCCGCGTCCTCGTCTCGCTTGGCGCGGTTCTCCCACTACGGTGTTTATAGGAATAGCTCCTTGCGCTAGACGCTAGTGTTGGCAACGCTGGCAGCGATTGCTGGGATGCTGAAATGTTGTTGTGTTTGTGTTGAGTGTTGACTGTTTTACCATTTCTGTTCATCACTTTCATGACTTTCTTCAGATTAGTTGAGTGGGTTGAGTTTTGTCTTTTAGAGACTCTTTAGACCTTTGGTTGCATTAAAAGTATTAAAACACTTACACTCATTACAGTACATTATTAGTATACTAAGTGGAAGCTAGACCCATAATCTTCAAATATCAATTATTTTCAATCTGTGCTAATACCCATAGGTTCTATTTCTTTGGGTTTTTTTACTTGACGACAACGAACGACAATGATGGACATGATGTGATAGAAGGGATTAGAACTAATAGAAGCCTGGTACAAAACAAAATCTGAATATTCACAATATACTTGCTTGTATCAGAAAATAGAATATTTTGATATGGTGAAAAGTATGTTGAATTAATCTATGAAGCACAAAACGAAATAATCCTTTAATTCATTCATAGCTCGCACTAAAGATGAACTTGCAGAATCATCAGGTATCAGCACTTCCAGCCCATCTCCTGCTTCAGCAGGAACCCCTCAGACTGGTGCACCTGAAGAATTTTCAGTGGAGAAAATATTGGATAAGAGATCAAGAAATGGAAAGATAGAGTATCTTCTGAAATGGAAGGGATATAATGAGTAAGTAGTAGTAAATTTTGAGATAGTTCTCAATAAAAAACATTATTTTGATTTTACATGTTCAGAGAAGACAATACATGGGAACCAGAGGAAAATTTGGATTGTCCTGACCTTATTGCTGCATATGAATCAAAAATCCAGCTAGGCCCTGAAGATGCTGATAAATCTAAGAGAAAAAATATTACTGAAGATAATCGTGCTAGAGGGTTTGATAGGGGTCTTGAACCTGACAAAATTGTGGGTGCAACAGATGCCAGTGGTGAACTCATGTTCCTCATGATGTGGAAAAACTGTAAACAAGCTGATTTGGTACCAGCCAATCAAGTGAATGTGAGATGTCCAGATATAGTAATAAACTATTATGAAAACAAAAAGCAGTGGTATAGTAAGGAAACTGTTATTGAATTAGATTAGGTTCATGGATAGATTTCATATTGTGAGGTTGGCTATACAGAGATGTTAAATATGTCAAATTTGAATAAAATAAGCTGGGAAATCAGCACCATTGATAAAATTATCAAATTTCCTTGTAAATTGCTATCAGATCAAAAACAAGTGAATTGTCAATTATTATAAAAAATAAGCAAGAACAACCTTTTGGAACCATTGTTTTTATACTAATCATAATCAATTAATCATAGACAATCAGATTGTCTATGATTATAATTGACATTGACAACATATAATTTCATTCATTTGATAAATTATAAATGACACTCAAATCCAGAGAACTATTTTTCATCTACCTACTAAATGATTTCGGGAATAGCTTGAGAATAAAATGTCTGAAAAAACAGTATATCAATAATATTGAGAAGTTGATTATTGAGAATGAAAACATTTACACATCAGTCTATATGATATAATGTCATATAATGAATGACTAGTAATGGGTTGCCAACAGGTGTACTATGATTTACTCACAAGAAAATGTGAAATAACTCACAATAACTCACAACCATCAAAATATCAACATCAAGGCAGATTTTTCATAAATGAATGATACAAAATAAAGGAAAATTTGATAACAAACTTATAACGTCTGCCTTTTTCTGCCACAAATACTCTCAACTGTCAAAAAACACGACAGGGTTTTGACAGATGACAGTGACAGATCGCCAGCTCCTTGACTCCATGAGCTTGAGACCGAAAATCGAAAATACAAAATAACATTAATAACAATACTCTCATAGTAATATAGAAACAAATAACAGGAAAAAAAAATTTATTCATTCAATGTATCCCAAAATAATAACAAAAAAATCATGTTTACTTCCTCAAATCATGGACAAGAACCTAATGATATCCAAATGATTCCAACATAAAAAAAACATTTGATATAAACATTTGAAATTGAATAAAAACTGAGATACACATCTCAATAAAAACAAACTAGGACTACATATACATAATGATATATATATGAAAAATCAACAGAACAGGTCACATTATTATCACATTGTTCACATTTGTAAAAAAAATTAAAAATTAATTAATAAATGCAGAGTGCACAGCACATCAAGCACTGCAGGTATCTCGTATACTGTCTTACTGTCATACGTCATACTAGTCATACTGTCAGCTGTGCTGTCAGACTGTCACTTGTCACCCTGTCCGTCCTGTCACTGTCTTCTTCTATTTTTCCTGTTCATGAACGTTGAAGTTTCAGTGGCGGCGCGTACATTTTCGAATGAATGAGAAATGAATGAAAAAATAAATTACTGTCTCTAACACGTGGATTTCCGACTCAAATGTCACTGACCTCAGATAACTCACAAATAACTCACAATTGGCCATCAACTCACAAAATCACTCACAGTCCCTGAAATAACTCACAATTGTGAGTTATAACTCACAAATTGGCAACCCTAAGTAATGAGTGTTTTGGTCTGTGGTTTTGGTAATCTAGGTGGATAGAATAAAATGAATCGATCCGTTAGACCAATGAAAATGCGCGCGAAATGCTTTCAGCCAGTAGGACAAAAGAGTTTGATAATCTGTGGTCGAGATCACAGATTGATAACAAACCGTAGTCAAGATGCCGCATTTAATTTAAATCCTATTTACAATCGAACGTGGACGGAAGTTCGGGCAAAACGAACTCTTGCGTAAAGGAAATTAGGATATGTTCCGTTAATCAACCGAGGTTACCGATGATTTCAGGGCCGGTACTAACAATCTTGACAGTGGTTATCTACTGGTGACTACGATTGTGGTTTATTTACGGAATGCCAGTCATTAATCAAATTATAGTTTTGATACTTTTTTTAACATTCAGGATTCATGCTCTTCCAGTATTTGATTTTCAATTATGGCACCCAAAAGTCCCTGATTTGTATGCACAGTGAGCACAAGCAAAAGATGTAGTGTCCTGGAATAGAAACAAAACGTCATCAAACTGAAGATATATCGAATATTATTAATTTACCTCAGAAAACGAATCAATTGAAACTCAACTCGACAATTGAAATGGGAATATTGTTATTCGTTGTAATTTGCAAATCAAAGAATCAAACTGAAAACTAAACAAGTCAATGTCAACTCAAACTTACCGAACTTACCAGAGAAAATCCACGGTCGTTCTGGTAACAGTGAATCTACCGCTTTTTCAGCAACCGAGTTCCATAAATAATAAGCTTTTTTCAGGAACCAACCGAACATTTCATATTTACGGAACGAAAAACTACTAACCGAAATAACCAAGTTGATTTACGGAGCAAAAGTTCAAGGTTAACAAAAACAATGTTCTGCGTTCTGCCATATCTACCAAAGGTCAAAGGCTTTGACACTTGGCATTGCTTTTTCTGACAAGAGTCTCGAGATCATACCCGTGTGTTCACCGAACACGCTCGATCGTTACCTAAGCGGTGGGGAGACCGAGACTTAACCGAGACGTAAGCAGGCAGTCATGATACTGAGTGGGCAGGCAGCTTCTCTCATGCTGTCTTTGTTTTTGTAGTACGGGGTGGGCCACCAACAGTTTTCTTGATCACATTTCAACATTTTTTTTTCGAATAAATAAGAAACATTTGATAGGCATCAAGTATGATCTACTGCGACCTATCAGATAATGAAAGCGATGATTTGATTTGCAATAATTCGCTATGTCCGAGGCTATGTCACGACGAGTCCTACATGTAAATAGCGAACCACTCATCAAAAATCATGAAACTATATGTACATATTATATGCTTATGTTTTGTTGGCGAGGACGCTCGTTTTTATTCAAATTATTTTCGATAATGTTCATCTGCTTCACTAGAAATTATTATTAGTAGTTATGTAGTACTTAGTAGTATAGTAGTAGAAGCTTTGTTATTCAAAATGGAACACTTTATATTTTATTACATTTTTCGATTCTTCTAATTGAGCTATGATTTCGTTGATCAAGCTCAAGGTATACCTATACGTAGAATCTGAAAAATCGAGATTTTTTTTTATATCGAAACTATACAATACCTATATTGATTTGTCAAAATGGCTTACATGTGTCCCTATCCTAACATTCTATTTACTATCTACTGATGCCATTTAATTGAAACAAATACAGGGTGGATCAGATTTCAGAATTATATAAAAGAAGTACTAGTATGCCTACTAAAAAAATATATATATTTGAAATAAACAAAACAAATATATCACATAAAAAAACTTACTCTAATATTCAACAGAAAATAAAATTCAATCCCACTGGATGTATTTAAAAATATAAACAGTGTGCATGTCACTTCTATAATGGAATATCAACCCGTATATCTAACGTAACTGTTCAATTTTAAGGAGCGATAGATATATAAACCAACTATGACCAAAGTGAGGAAATCTTCAGTGAAAAACACTGCTCTGGTCATGGACCCACCAACATTTCCGGAAAATGATATTAGGAGGCAAGATAGGTTAAAAATCACTTCGGATTCGAAATCAGGCTATTTACAGATCTCCCAGTACTTGCCCTACACAGTTCAATACGGAAATCATAAAATATTTAGAAACATTGAGAATAAAGGACATACAAATAATTACAGGCGATATAAACATAGATCTTCTGTCTGAATATGATTATGCAGAAGAATACAAAAATATTATGAATACATTCGGATTCAACTCCTACATTAACGATACTACTCGTCCAAGTAGTGGGTCATGCATAGATCACATATTCGTCTTGAATAAAAAACAAATCAAATTAAACTCATTTATTATTCAATGTAATATTACAGACCATTTCCCTGTTGCTTTAACACTGCATATTGAAGATACCTATACACCTGAAAAACAAACAGAAAAATGCAAACAATTCGTGAATTATAATAGACTGAAACAAGCACTTAAAAATGAACAATGGATGGATATGTATGATCAAAATGAAACAGAAACAATGGCTGTTAGATTCGTAACCAAATTGAAATTCTACATTAATGAAAATACCACCACAGTCAAACTAAAAAATAAAAATCGCGCAAGAAGTAAATGGATCACATCAGAAATTATTGAAATAGTCAATTATAAAAATGAGTTATATAAAAACTTATTGAGAAATGATCACCTTGAGAACGAAGAAATTAAACAGGAATATAGAGAAGTAAAGAATAGGTTGAATAAATTAATTATTGCCGAAAAGAGACAATATGCCAACAAAATTATTGAAAACAATAAAAATAGCACAAAAGGTCTATGGCCTATGGGATAGCGTCAATGAAATTTGTAATAAATCAAAACCAAGAACAAAAATAGAACAAATTAAAACAAAAAATGATACACTGACAGATAACAAACTGGAAATATGTAATAGTTTCAATGACTATTACAGTGAGTTAGGTGAAAAGTTATCTAATGAAATAGTTGAACCAGAAGATTTTGATTACAATGAAGTAAAGATAGAAAATACCATGTATCTATCACCAACGAATGAACTCGAAATAGAACAAATAATAATGCAATTGAAACCTAAAAAATCACCAGGCGATGATTCTATTCGATCTGAAACATTGAAAGAAATTGTTAACGAAATTAAAGCTCCACTCACTTGGCTGATAAATCAGTGCTTAGATACAGGGTGTTTTCCGAAGATCTTGAAAACAGGACTAATCAAACCACTATATAAAAGCGGCAAAAAAACTGAAATGATTAATTATAGACCTCTATCACTGATATCTAATATTTCAAAAATAATAGAGAAAATACTGAAAACGAGAATACTTAGTTTTCTAAATAGACATGAAGCTATTTCAACAAATCAGTATGGGTTCAGGGAAGGAAGGTCAACAGAAGATGCAATATATGCCCTCTCATCCAGTATTTATAAAGCTCTTGACAAAAAAAAAACCATTTTATGCATATTTGTCGACCTATCAAAAGCATTCGATACTGTTTGTCACCAAAAATTATTAGGAAAATTAAAATTGTACGGATTGAGAGGAAATATTTACAACATATTGGAAAGCTATTTATCAGGAAGGAAACAGCGCGTGAATATTGATGGAGTAAATAGTCAGTACCGAACAGTTTCTTATGGGGTTCCGCAAGGGACCGTATTAGGACCACTGCTATTCACTATTTACATCAATAGTTTATTGAATCTTGAAATTGAAGGAAAAATCTTGAGCTTTGCCGACGACACAGCCATACTCTATGAATCAAATACATGGCAGGAACTAAAACAACTTGTAGAAACTGACTTTTGCAAAATAGAGAAATGGTTCCGATTCAATAAATTAACGTTAAACTTCACCAAAACTAAATATCTACCATTCTCCTCATATTCCAGTGGATTACCAAATATGGGACCAATAAAAATTGGGAACACATTCGAAATTCCTGAAGCAGAATCAATAAAATATCTCGGTATTATGATAGATCGACATCTCAGGTGGGACCTACAAATCAAATATATTATTAATAAATTGAGAGGACTACTTCACAGATTCAAATACTTGAGAGATTTTTTGGGACCACAACAGCTGAGAACATTATATTTTGCATTGGTCGAGTCGCAATTACAATATGGAATAGTGGGATGGGGTGGAGTAAGTGACTGCTATTTAGAAAATCTCAATGTAATACAAAAACATTTAATCAAAATAATCTTTCGAAAGGCACGTACTCACCCAAGTAATGATCTTTTTAGGGAAACAAAATTATTCGATTTGCGACAACTATTCTGTTTGAGTATTCTGAAAAATGTAAAAAAAGGAAACATTGTTCTAGAACCAAAAAATCATGAGCATAATACTAGAAATAAAAATAACGTATTACCTCGCAGTGAAAAAACTATAGGACAGAGAAATTCCACTTACCTCGGACCTAGGTTAATTAGCTTATTACCAACGTCTATTCATAGAATACAATCACCATTCAGATTCAAATATGAGGTGAAAACCTGGATTATGGATACCGAAAGGTCTGTTTTTCATGATTTCGTTAATCAAAGATTCAAATGAAAAAAGAAAGCCATTATTATAGAAGTCATTATATACTCTTCAAGTAGTTAGGTACCTACTAACATTTTTGTAAATTCAATGTAGTCATGTGTTTTTTTAGTAACAATCCCATTTTTCTGATGTTATGTGTATATTTAAATTCACGAATTGTATTGTTTATAGTCCAAACATTGTTCTTATGATTATTCATTCATTCATTTTATAACATATACATTGGGTTGCGCACAAGTGGCATTGCAGCTGTTAGTTGAAATGCACACTTCTGTAGCTTAATTGTGTTAATTTATATATTATACAGATGTTTGTTCTACTTCAAATCACGTACAAGTAGTATGGTAGCTCACAGCTACCATACACTTCTGTGATCCACCTATGTTTATATGCTCAAATTTTTTTTATCTCAACTTGTGTGTAAATAAACATATTATTAACCCTGTACCTCGAAAACGAAGCAAGTTTAGGACACATGTTTATATGACCTTTATTCATCATATTATATCACAAGGAATCATCCCTTGAATTATTTCGGTGTTATTTAGATACACCCTGTATAGATCATTCTTCATCCCAACATTGTTCCCATAGCGAAGTTCAGCAAATACCGATGGCGAGAGCACTATGTTTATTGATTTGATGTCTACCTATAATTATATGAAAAACAAGAAGGCACAACTACTAGTGTTCCGTTTCGAAGTACATTAAATTGACAAATTTGACTCCAAAATAATTCAGGCACGCGCCAATTAATCATTCCAGAATTACGTCATTTGACAGGTTGCTGAGGGGCAAACATTGTATTTTGTCAAGATTTGTCATATGAAACCAGAATTAGTGGGATCGTTTTCCTTGGAATCCGAGTTGGAACCAGAAAGAATTCCATACTTATTTGTTTGGTGAAACTGTTATTATACTGTGGATATAGCAGGGATGGCCAGGGCGATGCTCATCAAAGGTAACCTATAACAGATAGTTTGTGTGCCCCTCAAGAAACCATGTCAATATCACGTGTTCTGGAATGGTTTATATTCATAACCAAGGTTTACGTTTCCCCACCGCTTAGGGAACGATCGGGCGTGTTCGGTGAACACACGGGTATGATCTCGAGACTCTTGTCTTTTTCTGTCTCAAAGCCAAATGCCAAAGTCTCGAAAGTCATCTCGGAAGCGGGAGCCCCATAGAAAATTAGAGTGTAATTTGTTTATGGAAAATAGAAAACCCCCAACCCCATGAAGGCAATGAAACCCCTTTTTCTCTTTTAGTTTCAGTTATTATGATTATTATGAAATTCTTTTTTATTAGCTGTGATGTGAATGAGGACAATGGGACATTGACCATTGGATTCAAACTTTCTAATGACTGAAGAACCATGTTATGGATTATTTGAAATTTGGGTAGATTGTGCCGATTGTGGGGGTCATGGACATGGACTTTCAATGCCTGCTGATAGTCATTTAATTTTCGATGAGCAATTGACCCATTGAAAGCTGACGATTTTAATTTCTAGAACTCAAAGACATTTGTTTATATGTTTATAACTACTGATAATCTGTCAATACCACCAAAACTCTCAGTCAAAACAATCGCCTAGTTCCCTATAGATCATATATAGGTAATACCTGAAAAATCACAGAATGCAGGATCCAAAAGTAATTTTATTAGTGAGTGGAAAAAGAAAATCAGGAAAAGATTTCATATGCGAAAAACTTAAAACAAAGTGAGTATTTGCCATATTTGGGACTATACAAAATATATTGCCATCTTGCAAGCCTACACATCTAATGAAAATTCATCAAGTTCATTTAGGCTTTTTTTCTACCTACCTAAATCATTCCAAGGGAAGTTGCAAGTGGCTACTTTTTTATAAATTATTGAACAATTGAACTCAGGTTTATTATTTATATTGTATTTCAGTATTTAGAGAAAGAATGGGGGCTCATATAGGTACTCAATTTTTTTCATCTGTTTCTCAAGAATCTCACTTCACTTTTCTCAATATTATGGGGACAGTTTCCTCAGTGCAATATGGCCACAAGAGGAAACATTAGTACCTATAATTTTTATTCAGTTTCAAAACAATAATGGTCTGATATGTATAATTAATTACATACATGAATGGAGTTACATTACTATTATTGTTATAGGTTAGGAGAAAACATATGTTCAATTATTAGAATATCAGGCCCATTGAAGGGGCTATATGCCAGTTTACACAAGCTTGATTTGCTTGAGCTGATGAGTGATAGTCCTTACAAAGAAAAACATAGACTGAATATGATAAAATGGAGTGAAGGTGAAAGAGATAAAGATAATGGATATTTTTGTAGAGCAGCTTGTGCTGAAGGTAAGTTATGAAAGAGACCTCAATAATAAAAATGATATAATGATAAATCAAGTGTAAGTACTAATTTCAGCAACAGTGACACCAGTTTGGATTGTTAGTGACATTAGAAGAAAATCTGATATTGAATGGTTTAAAGAAACATACAGAGGCATTACAAAAACTGTTAGAATCTCAGCTGATCTTGATACAAGGAAAAATAGAGGATGGAAATTCACAAAAGGTACAATCAAATGAAAATAGTTCATATGAAAGAAATAGTATATGCTCAATTTTTAGATGTTGATGATGCACCTTCAGAATGTGATCTAGATGATTTTAATGCTTGGGACATAATGCTAGATAATAATAACACACAGCAGTTAGAAACTGCAATTATTACTGTTCTGGAGTTTCTTCATATTTACACAAATAATGTGTAATGTTATTTTCATTAGTACCTATATTAGGAGAGTGGAAAATACAAGTCTTCCCCATGTGGTCAACTATTCTTCCACAGTTCAAGTATGGTCAATTTTTCATATAGTTTTAAACTTTTGATCATATTTCAATTATTTTTTATACATATTGCACTGTATATTGTACTTTATATCATCATAAGTAGTTTTAAAATATGAACCCAGAAATATTTAGTTCAGTCCTCTTCCTCATCCACTTTCATAAAATAAGTAATGACATTTAATCCTGATTTATGATTTAGGAGGTATGGTAGGTTTATTCTGAGCAGCAATTTCAAATAAGAAAGTGTGGCTGCCAACTAGTCAGCAAACTATACTTTTTCTCTAGACTGCAGACGATTCAGTGGAATACATTCTTTCTGTATAAAATCGGTCGGCAACCCAAAAAAAGTATAGTATGCTGACTGGTCGGCAGTCTATACTGTTTCTGTAAACTGCCGACCATTTAGTGGAATACATTCTTTCTGTATAACAAAGAGATCCAAGATGGTTAGTAGTTTATTAGTGGTTAGACATTGGCTTGTCAGATTTTTGTTTCACTAAACAGTTAGTCTGTTTGGGTTGAGTACACCTACATCACTTTCATTTTATATTTTATTGTTTTCTAATCTAGTTTTTCCTTCCTCCATTGTTAGTTCACAAGATTTTTTTGATCAGGTTTTTGTTCCACCAATAGGTTAGTGTGTTTGTGTGAGTATGAGTATATATCATTTTTTCAGAAGTTTTTTTTTAAATCATGTTTTTTCTCCCTCAAAATTGATAATTTTTGTGTACTGGTCGGCATCCTAAGCAAAGGGTATAGGCAGTCTATACACTTCCTTAAAATAAACCAACCATATTTTCATATTCTCAAGTAAGGTTTTGGGTTGTGCATAAATTCTACTTTTATTATTTTCAAGTTCTAGTGAAAAATGAAGAATTCTATATTTTTCATCAATCTTTATTAAGTTGGATACTGGTATTTGGCATTGATGTGACACTTTTTACATCAGACTTTTGAAGTTCACTATGAGTTGATTTTGGTAGACAACTCACTTTATGCCTGTCAAATAATTTTTCATTAGGAAATTTTTTATCATAACTTGGAACAGTTAACATACCCTTTTCTGTGTTCAAATTTGTGTTCTCTGAGTTGTCTCACTGTGGCAAACTCCTTATTACACTCCCCACATTCATGAATTCTTTGCTTCAAATGTTTCCTTGAAAGATGTTGGCTCAAATTGTATTTTTCAGTAAAAGCTTTGTCACAGACATGGCACTGGTGTTTTTTTGGGTTGTGAATACGTTTCTTGTGTTGTAGTAAGCTCAGTGTGGATTTGAATACTTTCTCACAAACTTCACACACACATTTTTGGTTACTGTGTTTTCTTGATTCATGTACTTTCAAAACTGTTTTGGATTTGGCAGAGAAAGTACAGCTTTTACATTGGTGTGGTCTGTCTGAGAAGTGAGAGGCAATATGGCGTTTCATTGAAGACTGACAACTGTTTTGTTTTCCACAAATGTGGCAGACATATCCTTTGATATCAGTATGACGTGCCTTGTAATGTTTTTCCATTGAAGCCTTGGAAGTATGTCTTGAATCACATTCAGTACATCTGAAACAATCAAAAATCATTCTGCAATATCTAATCTGGAGGATTCAATTTCTGGCTATCAATTGGACTAAAAAAAACAACTTGGAATTTATTTAGAAAAACTCACTTCATCTATTTTTTTTTTGTAAAGAAATAAAGGCATGTAATGAATTGGGTTGGGGATTTAATTAATAATCCATATAATGAATTGGGTTGGGTATTTAATTTTGTGTAACATTTAACCCTAGATTTAACCACAAGAGTATCTTATTTTGGATAGATACATACCTATAATCTAATAGTAGAACTTATTAATTTAACATTGTCACTACCAATATTATTGGTCATGATTCTATTAGAATCTGGATTGAAATCCACAATTTATAAAAAACACAATGATTATGACCCTTACTATTTGAAACATTTCCTGATGAGGTAAACAATAAGGTATTGGAATGGCTACCTTTATTGGGAAAGAATATTATAATAACTGAACTTACTTATGTTTATCAGTGTGTTTTTTCATATGAGCTTCCAAACTTTTAGTCAGAACTTGACTATTACATGTTTCACATGATACTTTATGATTTCTCTCATGTTCAACCAAATCATTTCTACTAGAAAAAGTCTGAAAGGATTATATTCAGAATTTACCATCAAGATTACTCTTATAACAATGTCCTCACCTGGTCACATTTAGAGCAACAAAAAACAAAGTGCCCATTGTGGGAATGCTGATGGTCCTGATATTCAAAAAATGAATCAAAGACTTTAGAACAAATGTCACATGTATATGAATTTCCTTCCATTTGTTTTCTCATCTGAAAATCCCATAAAAATTGAATACTAAAACAATTGTATTTAAATCTGATGGTAATTTTACAGTTTCATCCAATTCACATATACTGAGCTTCTTTCCTCCAGAAAAAAACAAAGTATCTCCATCATTTTGAGGGCTTATGGAAGCAGGACTAGTAGTATTTTGGTCATCAGTGTTGATTTCAAAATCATTTATACTGGAGTCAGAATCACATGAGACAAACTCTTCTTGTGTAGCTATTTCTTCTTTTTTAGCAATCTCTGATTTTGGTTCAGGTGGATATTTGTGAACATATAATTGCTGCAAAACTTTTTCTGAGCTTTTGATGGTTTCCATGAAGTTAGTGAATTGATTTATGATGTCAATACAACTTTTACAGATCAGTGATGGTATGGGATCTTCAGGGGAAAGCTAGAAAACAATGAATGCTGAAGGAATAGAACAAACACTATATGGGGCTGAACTTACACAAATCCCTGTACAATGAGATATTTTCTCATATAAAATGTCCAGAGTGCAATCGAAAATATCTATAATTTCATTGTTTGTATCGTTTTTTTCCTCGCGCAAACAGAAACGGCAAATTTTGGAAGTACCCATTATAATCATAGTTATAATTTATAATCTTTTTTGATTCAGCACATAATAATTCATTTGAAAAAATTCCAAAATTCCTAGTATAACCTAAAAAACAAAATAAAAATAACAAGAAACAAACCGTCAAACAATTCAAATTTATCTAGCCCTCTGTGAAGACAAGAATTCAAATAACCATGACTTTCGGACGGACGCATTTCAGACCAATCAGAACGATTCTAGCAATGGCGGTCAATTCGAATCTCTTTAATTAACATAACAATTTCTGTGATGTACAAACCTCATTCATTTCATTATTTCATGTTTAAGAAGGTTAATATCATTGGAATGTGATGGGTTTTAATAGCCGTGTCTATTCATCGGGGCGCCCCGGCATATAGGTACGTTTGCTATCCATAAATAAATAATTGGACACTTACAAAAGAACTACGAAGATAAATATCCTTTCTGCATAAGAAAAGAGACTACTTTTCCTAAATGATATAACCTAACTCGGCCTTAATGAACATTCTTCATAAAAAATATATTTTAGTTCTGTGCTGTGCGGCTTGACCCTGTGATATCACGTCCTTGAATTCCCTTCGATAGGTCGTCGAAATTTTGTACAGATGTATTCAGAATTAAAGCGTACAAGTATATTACAGAGAGAAATTAACGTCATTCTATTTTCGTAAAATGGGATATCGGGAACAATGAACTCATTATAATTGATCGGGAATGATTTCATTCTTTTCCCGTCCTGCCCACGTCCTGTCAGCTGTCATCCTCCGCGCAGAAGGCTTCTTTTCTTCTTCAGTATGATTTGATTTTGTTTCAATGCTAGATGCAAATGCGTTGTTGTTCAACTCAGCTGTGAATTAGTCAAAAAAGGTAAGATGTATTCATCCTCTCCTTGATACAAGTTCGTTCTTGACAGCTTTTGTTAATATTAATGCACTCTTTAGTCTTGATCATGATGAATATTACTTCATCCTATTTACAAGTTACTATATGAAGTGACGAAGCACCCTTTGGTCTTGGAAACATTGGGCCAAGTTAGTTGCACGGCTCACTTTGACCGGCGCGGCTCCCTTAGACATGCGCGTCGGTATAGTGCGAGCTTTCAACCCTATAAAGCAGATCACATGTCGGAAGAAGGTTTCTGCAAGATCGAAACGAAAATTTTGAACTGGCCTTTCTGTATATCGGCTTCATTATTAGGCCATCTAATCTGTCCGGTAGAATTAGGGGATCAGCGGCTCAAAACGATACAATAATCCCTGCGTTGGGGAATTTGATACCGCTCATGATCTCCCACAAAGAGACTTCTAGCTTCTAGGCAGTTGAGTGATGAAAATGCCAACTCTGAAGAATATGATAATATATTGAAGAAAAAATAGACTACTTAAATGAATCTGAATCAAGAAAGGAGAGTCGCTTTGATAGAATAGAGGAGGCGAATAAAGAATTGAGGAATGTACTGCAGTCTTTCATGGAGACGTTTGAGCAGCAGCAGGAAAATATAGATCCATATTCTCAAGGTGAGGATGTAGAATCAGGTGAATATTTTTTTGATCGTGAGGATGATGGTGTTGCTGACCCACACTTGAATGTGGTAGAGGGACCGACCTCTGATAAAGATATTGAATTCAATTTTGACCCCAATACCAAAGAACAAGAACCATCAGTACTTCCTGCAAAGCCGCATATTGAAGCAAATGATATAAATTGTTTGAAGCTTGGCAAATCCTCATTCAATAGGGTGAGGTACGCAGAGGTACAAAAAAGCTGTTAGCTTTTCCGCTGTTTAGTGCACTCCTGGTGAATAGCCAAATTTCTCATATTTCCCCTAACGATGCGGCCGAAGAACTAATGAAAAGGATGGATACCACGGGTCTTTTGTTGATCTGAGGATACCACATTGGCAATTGTCTTGCATGGAGTTCTGCTACAGAGGGACCATTCTGCAGAGGCCATGAAAGCCCTTATCTCAAAACAACCAGCGATAAAAAAGGTTGTGGATGAGTTGAAAGAATACAGCATTTCGATGATGTAGTGAATTTAATTCAAGGACGTAATCTCACAAGGTCAAGCCTTAGGCAAGCCTGAAATAAGTCGTTTTCTTCCCTGCGGGGAGAAAACGCTGTATATTTTCTCTAATTTTGACATCTAATTTAACACTTCAAAACTGAAGGAAGCCTTAATTATTGTTAAACATTCAGAAACAAATGATTTCTTGGATGTTTGCTCGATTGAGGACCATAAAGTTTGAATACAAAAAGCTCATATAGTTTACATACAATGCGCGAAGTATGTACTTCGCGTATCGTTTTACTTTGCGCACTCCTTCGCACATATGTTCTCGTGTGGTAACGTAGAAAACTGAAAAAAAGGGTCACTTCACATATTGTTTTTTGACGTTAGTTGAAGAAAAATATTGTACGTTACACGTCAGGAAACTATGTGATTTGCGGACCTCGCTTCGCTTGTCCCGCATCGTAAAAACAATTGTCTGCTAAATATAGAGAAAAAATCTAGTGAGCTGGAATGGTTAAAATGACGCGTTTCCCAACAGATTAAAATGAACTACTTTTTCTGAACAATCTAACCTAACCTAGAAACTATAGGGTGCGTGTTTTTCATTCCATCGAAAAAAGTCTGCACTGATCAATGCGTTTTTTTGTCGTGATGTCACCAATTTTCTGATGGAATTTATGATGGAACTGATGGAACAATGGATACAACGGGGTGTGTTTTCAATTCCAATAATTTGTCATGCGCATGAATCGAAGAAACAATCGAACTGTTGCAAAATTCTGACAACTGAGAACTTTCGAATACTGCAGCGGGAAAGAATGTCCTCTGGCTATTCGTAAAGCTCAAAATGACGACTTTTCATTTCTTAAACGCCAACAGGTGTATATGAAAAAAAAAATCAATGAAAATTCGATTCACTATTTCCAAAAATAACTTAGAAATAAATTAAAAAAGTTGATGGTGGCTAGAAATGGAGCCAGTATACCTTCGACGTACACCAAAACCTAAAACCCCTTCCTAAAAAACGGAAAAAAGGTCCGTTTACCCTAAATACCCACCTTTTGAGCAAAAGAGTTTTCGGGACCCCTTTTTCGATATACAGGACAAGGCCATCATATTAGTTTTGATAAATTAAAAGTTTGAAATTGAAATATAAAAACCCGACCGTGAACTATTTTCAAGTAGTTTACTTGCATTCATACCGAAAGTCGTGTTTGCTTAAATTCTTGCTCTGTGAGGCTGGCCAACATTGTTGTATTAATCAACGTGTTCGTGAAATTCTCTGTGTATGATTCACATCCACCCGAATTGCTCCATAGTGGAAATTTTTGGTAAATTCGAGCTGCACATTATGGCGATAACAAGAAGATACAGCAGGATGTTGAAATTCGGAAAATAAACAGTTTTTTCATTGATTTGCAAAAACGCTGTTCATGGTGATATAGTAGTTTACCTAACAAGTGCGAAAAGTCACTTTACGCACATGTTAGATACACTATTTTTTCTACTATAGCGTGCGGAAAAAAAAACAAAAGTTAACATAATTATGGAAATAATTTATTATTATTAATATGGAACGTGCAATTTGAAGCTTTTCCGCACAGGTGCGGAGATGTGACCCATTCAACAGTAAAATAATTGTGAAAAGTGGACATTCCCGCACGCAAGTATAGAAAATTGTATACTATTTTTTCTATTAGCGTGCTGAAAAAACATATAGAAACATTTATTATATTCAGATTTGCAAATGTCCGCGTATACTCCACAGGAACTTAACGAATTTACTTTTTCGAACAATTTAGTGCGGAAAAGAGGATTTTTCCGCACCCAATCGATTTCTCCACCTTTTTATTATTTTCTCTCTGAATTAAGCAATAGTTCAAAACATCATTTTTTGGTTTTCGGAGAGACAAAAAAATGTTTCTTCTGTGACGGGAAAAAAGTTTGAAATTTCATCTATGTTGACAGGTTATAAAATGTCACGTTTCATAAGTTACTTTTTCCCCCCGTTTTTTCCCGGATATATAACACTGTTGATGGCTTTTGTTGTACTATAGTTCCGGAAGATAAGTCAATAACACCGTCTCCGAGGAAGAACTGCAAGTCCTTTTATCTTCCATTCGACTTCGCGGCTACGTAAATTACTAAACAACCACTAAATTCGCAATTTTTCATAATAAAACCACAGAATTAGACTGACAGATATTTGATAACTTCAAAAGAATGATAAAGATGCCTGCAAAAAGATGCCTGCAACGCAAGTGTAATTTCTGTTGTACACTTCAAATTTCACGTGGGTTATTTTCTTATTTTAATAAAATATGATATCTTCTCAATATTCATTCGTCTATTTATTTCCTGTTACAGAAAAAAATCAATTGATAGAAACATCCTGTAACTCATTTGTATACTAACATCATCAAAGGTGTACAAATTTGGTGATAATTTTTCAGAGGTCAGACTGGAAACTTCCAGTTTTTTTTCCAGAAAGATATTTCCTTCAGAAATATTTTTTGTATCGTGTTAATTTTTGATAGTCTCGAGGTTCATTTGCAAATAAATAATTTCTGATATCATGCATCCTGCGCATTTTTTAAAATTAATCTAATTAGTCGGACTGTTTATTGATCATGGCTATAATGTATTCTCATTGTAAACAAACTGATATGTTGCTGGTCCTCGCGGGCTTTACAAGAACTCTTGCGTTACAAATTTAGCGATAACTATTCAGGACCTTAGGTGAGCACTTTAACGCCTTGTACCAACTCAACGAAACGATTTTGGATATAGGTAAGTTGGCTAAAATCAACTTATTTTTATCCCAGGAATCTACAGTCAAGCCATGTCCCTTCCAGATTATTTTTCTAAAAAATGCAAAAGATGCCTCAGATCAGAAATTAATTATTTATTAATGAACCTCGAGACTTATCAAAAATTAACACGCTACAAAAAATATTTCTGAAGGGAATATCTTTCGCTGGTAAAAAAAACTGGAAGTTTCCAGTCCGACCTCTGGAAAGTTATCACCAAATTTGTACGGCAACATGGTTGTTTGAAACACTTGCAGGTCACTGATGATGATCAAAAAAATATCTC